TCTCTATAGGTTTTGGAAGTCCTTGCGGCCAGGCTGTGCTGCTGCTGCTGGGCCTTCTACTTCTCATGCTCCCATCCCTCCCGGGTGGGGCCGCCCGTCCTGCACCAGTCAAAATGAGTTCTGGTGTCCATCCTGGAGATGTGAAATGGGGCCCCCTCTTGAAATGCTGGCAAGGACCCCTTTATAACAATGTCAGCTTCTGTTAATAGTTCTTGCCCAAAATTCATATTCTGTAACCCTATTATAATCCAAGTTAAAGGATGGGATGCTGCACACCCACAAGCTTATAGCTCCTGGGTCTTGGGAAGATCTCGGGGATTTAGGTTATCTGAGTCTGGTAATGACCATGGAATGGCATTTACTATATAGTGATCACAGGTTAGGACTCCGGTCCTCCCCATGGGACCTTTTTACATGACCTCCTTTGGCCTCTCACGTCCTTACAACTTAGCTCCAGACTACCTAGATAATCCAAAATGCCACCTCACCAGGGAGGAACTCGCTTTTTATATGGGGTTAGGTCTTCTGGCCACATAGCCAACTGTAGTGCTCAGGACTGTGTCCCTCACCAACAGAACAGCTTGTCCCTGGGAGCCCCCCTCAGCCTAGGTGACCTTCAAGGGCTTGCAACTCAACTATCCCTTAGACAAAACTGCCTATTCATCAATATGACGAATATATATACTTTCACATGGTCTTCCAATACTCTTAACTTAAACAACTCCATCAAATAGTCACTCCAAGGGTCTTGGTATGCCTGTACCATGGTTTATACCCCTGTATATCAACTAGCCTTTTCGCCATGGGAAACTGATCCGAGATCTGTGTCTTAGTACAAATTGTCCCACGAATATATTATTGTGATGGCTGAGCTGGCAGGAAACATTTGGACACTTGCCTGGGGCTATGATATAAGTGAGGAATGCCAATCTTCATCCCCATAATGGTGGGAACAGGTATTGTGGGTCAAGCTGCCTGGAGAGTAGCAGCACTAATTATTAGCCAAGTCAGTTACAATAGTTTCTCTGAGGCCATGGAAAAAGACCTATTCTGCCTCCAGGCAGTGACCTCATACCTTGTACAACAAGTAGACTATTTAGCAGAAATGGTCTAACCAAACAGAAGGGGACTCGACTCCTAAAACAAGGAAGACTAAGTGCTGCCTTGAGTAAGTCCTGTTGTTTCTATGCTAACCACTTGGGAGTCATTACAAACATTCTTCAAGAGCTCGATGAGAGTCTCCTCAAAGGGCAAAAAGAAAGACAACAATCTTTTCCTGGTTCTATAAGCTCTTTGATTGGTCCCCTTGGCTAACAATCCTAATGTCCTCTGTTGCTGGATTGTTGTTTATTCTTTTGCTACTCTTAATGATCTGTCCATATGTGGTTAATGTGCTGATTAGATTTGTAAAATACCACATTTCTTCAATGGAACTCTTGATTCTCCACTCACAGTATGCAGTCATTGTTGCTTTGCCTGCCTAAAACACCCTGATTGGTCTAATAAAGAGCTGAACGGCCAATAGCAAGGCAGGAGAAAGGATAGAGGAGGCTGGTGTGCAGACAGTATAAACAGGAGGAGAAATCTAAGCTTGGGGGAAGAGGGAAGAGTGAGAAAAGAAGAGGAGGAGAGGAGGACAGCAGGGACCAGCCACCCAGCCACCCACCCAGCCAGCCACCCACCCAACCAGCCACCCACCCAGCCAGCCACCCAGCCAGTCAGCCAGCCACCCACCCACCCAACCAGCCACCCACCCACCCAGCCACCCAGCCAGCCAGCCACCCAACCAGCCAGCCACCCACCCACCCAGCCAGTCAGAGTGAAAGAAGGAAAGAAAAACACTTAGAGTCGGGCGGTGGTGGCGCACGCCTTTAATCCCAGCACTCGGGAGGCAGAGGCAGGCGGATCTCTCGGAGTTCGAGGCCAGCCTGGTCTACAAGAGCTAGTTCCAGGACAGGAACCAAAGCTACAGAGAAACCCTGTCTCGAAAAACAAAAAAAACAAAAGAAAGAAAGAAAGAAAGACACTTAGAATAAAGAAAGTTAAAAAGCCCAGAGGCAAAATGTAGTTAAAGAGAAATGGGATAATTTAAGTTAGAAAAACCGGCTAGAAACAAGCCAAGCTAAGGTGGGGCATTTATACGTAAGAATAAGTCTCCAAGTATTTATTTGGCAGTTGGATGGTGGGCCCCCCAAAGAGAAAAAAAAAAAAAAAACCAAACAACTACACTTCTGCTTTGCCTCCTGAATGGCAGGATTATAGACCAATGTTAGTATACCTAGCCCTAGCTACACTCAACCTTGTTTTCTTCCCTACAAAGTTTTGGAATGATTTGTAAAATTTTGTTGAGATTTTATTTTTATTTGTTTTATTTAGTTTTTGTGATACTGGGGATTGAGGCAGGGATTTATATTTGGTAGACAAATGCTGTATCACTCAACTACATCTGTGCCCCGGGGATTTGTGCTGTAATTTTGTAGATGGAGTTTTCTTTGGGCTATCTGTAATTATTCAGCCACCTATAAGGCCACACTTCCGTGTCCTAAAGGCAGGCACATGTGGGCGGACCCTTGGGAACAAAGGGCCCGTGTGACCCACGTGCGCACATGCGTGGTTACCTCCACTTGTGACTCAATTAAAACCCTTGCGCGCATGCGTGGGTCGCCTGTCATCTGCGTCATCAGCATGTGATGTAGTCACGTCATCCCCCTGTTTGCTTGTGCTAGGCAGCCTTTAAAAGCTGGAGGCTCCGTCTTTGCTCTCTCTCCTTACATTGTTTTCTCAGGCCTGCGTGCACTTGGCTTCTCTAATAAAGTTCTAAGTGGGTTTGTTCGTGTCTGCTGTTTTCTTCCCACTCGCGTCAGATCATTTCACCGCCAGCTCATAAAAAATGACATGGAGACTTCTTATTAATTATGAAAGCTCAGCCTATAGCTTAGACTTATCCCACTAGCTCTTATAACTTAAATTAACTAATTTATATCCATCTATGTTTGCCTCATGGCTTTTTTACCCCTCTCTTTTACCTTGTACCTCCTGTTTCCTCTGGCATCTCTGCGGCACTGCGGATCATCTCCTCTCTTCTCTCTTTGTCCAGAAGTCCCGCCTAACCTCTTCCTGTCTAGCTATTGGCCATTTAGCTCTTAATTAAACCAATCAGAAGGTGCCTTTCAAAGAGATATCTTCACAGTGTACAAAACTATTATTCCACAACATAATTTATTGTATTTTAATATTTTAATTTATTTAGGAATATTTCTACTCAAGAATATTATACAACATTCCATTTATTTTGGTTATTTTGTATGTCAAAATTTTGTTAATTTTTCATAAAGGTATGTGAATACTAATTTTTCCTACTTACTTTGCATTTTGTTCCTATTATAAATAATCAAAATTTAAAATTGCTTTTTATTTTTTGAGACAGGTTTCTCTATGTATCTTTGGCTATTCTGGAATTCGCTCTTATAGACCAGGCTGGCCTAGAACTCAGAGATCCACCTGCCTCTGCCTCTTGAGTGCTGGGATTAAAGGTGAGTGCCACCACCGCCCAGCTATAAAATTACATTTTCTTAGTAGATTTTGCTATTGTATTGAATACAGGTTCAGGGTTTTTTTAAGAGTTAATTTCCTTTAGAGCGGTTTGAAATTCATGTAAAGCTGAGAGGGAGATGGAGAGCGATTCCTGCGGAGTCACCCCCTTCTGCTGAGTCACCCCCTTCTGCTGCTGTGCATGCACACCATTATCAGCATGGCTCCCACAGTGCCATATTTATTTTATTTTTATTGTTTTGGTTTTTCAAGACAGGGTTTCTCTATGTAGACCCAGATGTCCTGAAACTCACTCTGTAGACCAGGCTGGCCTCAAACTCACAGAGATCTGTCTGCCTCTGCCTCTGCCTCCCAAGCGCTGGGACTAAAGGCATGCGCCACCACCACCCGTTCTTGACATATTTATCTTAACTGATAAACCTATATCAGTGTTTTGGCACCAAAAGTCTAAAGCTTGTGTTACCAGTCAGCCACTCCTGGTGTTGTATTTCCCATGAGCATAGACAAATGCACGATGGTGGGTCTCTCATCCTGGGATCACACGATGTTTTCACTGTCCTGAAATACTGGCACCCGCATGTTCATTCTTCTTTCCTACATGACCCACAGACATCATGCTTCTTTTTTCTCGTTAACTTTTCCTACAGCTTTTGATTTTCCAGAATAACGTATAGTTGGAATTATATAGTACATAGCCTTTCAGAATAGCTTTTTTTGTTTTTAATTTAATAACATACACTTAAGACCCAAGTACCTCAGCCTTTGGTGATGATAAATGGGTTAAAGATCCCTTGGTAAATAAGTAGATATATCTTAGGGTTTGTTTCATTTTTGTTTTATATAACAGTGAATTCTTTGTAATTATGTAATAAAATGTAAAAAGAATATCCAAAGGTTTAGAAACGTGTATCTTGCTCTTTCGACCATCTTGGCACTGGCAGAAGCCTGCTGGGAACAGGACTTCTAAAAGGCGAATGTGTCTGGAGGGCTGTGGTACAAGGCCGTTCTTTGCTGGCTCTAAGTGAGGTCTCTGGAACCAAAGAGAGCATATAACTCTTCTTAAAATTGAGGGTGTTTATGGTGGAGATGAAACTGAACTCTACTTGGGCAAGAGCTGTGCTCTTGTGTGCAAAGCAAAGAACAGCACAGTGGATCCTGGAGGCAAACCACACAAAACCAGAGTGATCTGGGAAAGGACACTCAGGTATGGAAACACTGGCATGGTTCATGCCAAATCCTGAAGCCATCTTCCTATAAAGGCCTTTGGACACAGCATCAATGTGATGCTGTACCCTTCCCGGATTTAAACTACTGAAAAGTAAATAAATAAAAGTGGATTTGTGTTAATAATAAAAAAAGAACAAAGAAGCATATATATTGAAAGTATAATATTCTAACTAATGCTTACACCATGTTTATTAAAATGTATTTTATTTTTCTCCCAACAGAGAAAATCTTGAAGATTTAACCCAGGTAACTCTTGTCAATTTTGCATATCCATCACATGTCATTACTATTTTCCATTTATCATTTGTGTTTCCAGGTGAGGAATTTCCCAACGTACTTTTGTCATAAATTCTCTATAGAGTAGCAAGGCTCAGAGTGTGTTTTGAAGACCCCTTAGTTGGCCAGGAGGCCTAGTCAGGGAAGTTCAACCATACATTTACAGAAGGTGGATTTTTTTCTCCAATATTCTTTTATTAAATAGCAGAAACATTATTCAAGTGTCTTCTGTTGAAACACTAAAGAAAATTGGAAACTATTAGCAAACATTGTATTGGTTGTTCTTATTTGGTAAAATATGCTCTTTTTACAAAATACATGTTAACATATATTTTATGAATATAATGTAGCATGTATCATGGTTTTATAAATTAGTATTTTTGATGTTCTCAGTTTTATTACATGGTACTTTTGATAAGTCTAATCCACAAAATACAAAAAGCTTTACAGGACCCAGGTATGATTTGCAACCTGAGCAAACAGGAGGATGATGTAGGGGAATAAGAAATTTGAGGCCAGCTTGAGCTATAAAGCAAGATCTTGTCTCAAAACAAATGCCATGAAATTATTTAAAGACTGGAGATGTAGCTCAGTTGGTAGAGCACTTTCCTGGCTCGCACAAAGCCCTTGGTTCAATCCCCAGAACCACATAAACTGTGTGGCTACTAGTCCATGCCTGTGGCCCATGGATCAAGGCTGGTCCATGTCAGCACTCCAGAGACAAAGGTCCAGAGTTCAAAGTTATCTTCAGCAATACAGTGGGTTCAATCAACCCATAATCTCAAATGTTATCAAGGATATATAGAACAATTAGTTTTGGGCTACCCGGCAAGACCCTGTCTAAAACACTATACCCCAAAACAAAGGAGACATAATTCCAGTTAGGCAAAATATATAATGCACAAAACTCTTTTTTTTTTTTTTTTGATTTTTGAGACAGTGTTTCTCCGTAGCTTTTGGTTCCTGTCCTGGAACTAGCTCTTCTAGACCAGGCTGGCCTCGAACTCACAGAGATTCGCCTGCCTCTGCCTCCCAAGTGCTGGGATTAAAGGCGTGCGCCATCACCGCCCGGCTTCACAAAACTCTTTAATAATGCCTTTTAAATCTAGATTTTTCTAGATTTAACTGAGTTGACCCCAAAGGTGGCAAGGCCAAATTCTACTAAAGAGAGCGGGAAGAAATTTACAAATGTTCTGAAAAGCGCCAGCAGCAGATGGTCTCCTCGGAGTCCTTGCTGCCTTTGCAGAGCAAATGATGCTAATGATGTCCCAGCAGACCATGACTATCTGATCTCTAGCATCTCTTAATCTATGTGCGGGGCACACAGTAGCAGGCGGGACATGTCCCTACCCTCATCGTTGTGTCGTTACAGCTTGTTGAAAGGCATTATACAAAGCTGCTTATTCAATTTATAAATCCAGTATAATTCTAAAATCTAAAACTTGACCCGGTTCAGAAAATTATTGACATCTTTTTGAAAATATGCAAAAAGTTGGCATAAAATAGCAACAAGAAGTATCAACAGCAGGCAGTTGCCGTGCAAGCATGGTGACCGGCACTCCATTCCCAGAACCCACATAGAGGCGGGAAGAGAGAAGCAAGCTCCACACAATTGTTCTCTTACCTCCACACACCATGACACAACCACCAACCACATATACACGAGTACACACACGATAATAAATAAAATTTTAAGTAGATGTCTAGAAGACAAAAAGCAATCATCTAATATTGTCTATTGGTATTAGGCATCCCAGGAATCGGTCAGCATCACCTAGAATAGTATCAAAACAAAGGCTATAAAACATCATCACAGTACTTAGGGACTTATCACTAAGATTTTCCACAAAGAAAGACTCCATCCCCATATTTATGACCTAAGAATCATTACAGAAGCAAGTAAGAGAAACCTGCCACTCAGCTCATCAAAACAAAACAGCCAAGCCAAGAAGCTAAGGCCAGACCATCACAATGGCTAGCTCAGGTGCAGCTAAAACCATCACCAGAAGTCAGCAAGGACTTAAATGCCATGAATAAATTTAATATAATAATTATTTATTATGCTATAGTTAATATCTCATGCTATATACCCATCTCACACTTCCAGAACATTTGGCAGGCTCTGTGTCAACGAAGGCAGATGATGGGCCATGCCTTCTGTAACAACTAGGCAATTAATTTAGGAATTAATAATAGAATTTCTTAGAAAGTCTCCAGGCTCAGATTTTTTTGTTTTGTTTTTCTCCCTCACTAGGCAACCCAAGATGGCTTTGAGCTTGCAGTCTTCCTGACTCTGCTCTTAGATTTCTGGGGATTATGGACATATACCCTTACACCCAGCCTCCACCATAGGGAAATCTAATGTGTGAGTGTTTGGCCTGCATGTATGTATGTGTGCCATGCAGATGGAGTGCCTTTGGAGGCCAGAATAGGGCACCTGATTCTCTGGAATTGGAATTACAGATGAATATGAGCCAACATGTCTCTGAATCAAACCTGGCCCCTCAGAAGAACAGCAGAGCTCTTAAATTTTAAACACCGAGCCATCTCTCCAGTCCCCAGATAATGGAGATTTTAAATACATGTGTTTACGGGTTATAAAAGAAACCAAAATGAGCATTACAAAGTTTTTCTAATGTTTATTTAGTTTTATGCATACAGATTTTTCTTTTTTACCTGCCTGTACGACTGCACACCACGTACATACAGTGCCCCCAGAGGAGGGTGTTGGATCCTCTAAGGCAGGAGTTACAGACAGTTGTGAGCCACCATGTGGGTGCTGGGAATTAAAACCAGATCCTTTGAATGAGCTGTCAGTGCTCTTAACCCCTGATCCATCTCTTCAGCTTGAAGAATTACAAAGTATTTTAAACCAAATAATGACGACCTCCAGGCAGATATTCAAGAACAGACAATCATCCCCCCCTCTCAGCAACAACCCAGAAGAAAAATATGTGCAAGGGACATGAACGTGGACCTTGAACACAGGGAGAGACCTTTGCATTTTCTCACAAAGCAAACACAGTCAAACTACATCAAAATTCCATTTTTCATCGATCTGAGTGGCGCTGTCCGAGGAGATAGAAGGAAAGAGCTCTCACATATTGCTATGGCAGGCCTACCGCGGAAACTGCTGGGTAGTAGCTGGGAAACTCACTATGTGGAGCCAGCAAAAAGGCACAGTATGTGTGTGGAGCCGCACAACTTGGTGACTTGGGTTTGATCCCTGGAACCCAAGTGTCCTGGTTATCTTTAATTGTCAACTTGACACAGCCATCTGACAGGAAAGCACACGTGGAGGAATTGTCTCCATCAGATTTGCCCATGGGTGTGTATTTGTACTAAAAGGAGGGGAGAAGTATCTTTCTTGGTTCTATAGAAAGGTTTTCAGAACTTAGAGAAATGGAGCCAATAACTAACTGGGTCCCTGTGGGTGGGAACTGAGTGATGGAAAGGGGAGGCATTTGGTTGCTGTCGTTCTCTTTGTCATATAATTTGCTTTGGGCAATGTGAATAAATTATTCAAGAAAAAATAAGGAAAAATGGTATCTGTTTTTATTAACCTATGATGTCAAATGCTAAGGATAAGTTACAAATGGTGTGCAGAGGGTGATTTCGTTTTCCATAAAACGTGGGGAAGTGTAGGAAGGCTGCCACGTCCATTTACGAAGAAAGGTGTGTGATCATTAATACAGGATATTATTATCAATTACTTCCAGTTATAGAAAGATTTTTTTTAACACTTCATGGACCTTTGTGTTGTTCTAGTTATTAAAAACTACCAACACTGCTTTTGATGTTTTAAAATAGAAAATAATGAAAACCGTTTTCTCACTTTTGTTTTTACGTGTATGCATATTGTACCTACAACCGTGTGCCACCTGCCTGCCTGCTGCCTGCAGAGGCAGCAGAGAGCACTGGAGCCTTCATACCTGGAGTTAAAGATGGTTGTCAGTCCCCATGTAGGTGCTGGCAATTAAACCCAAGTCTCTCTGAGTAGCTAGTACTCTTAACCACGGAACCATCGCTTCAGCCCCAGTAATGAAAACTTTTGAATTAATTAAGAACATTTTGAGTGGTTTTGCCACAACAACAACAACAAAAAATGAAATTTGTATAAAATAAAAGGAAATGCAAATGTTTTGTGTATTTTTAATATTCTCTGATAATTTTATGTATGCATAGAATGTATTTTGTTTATACCAACCATTATCCCTCCCCCAAACTACTCCAAGATTCACCCTCTGTCCTCACCCCCTCCCAATTTAGTGTACTCTTCTTTTTTATAACCCACTGAGCCTGATTTGTGCCTCTCATATTTTCTTTTATAGACTATCACTATATGGGTATATGATCCAGAAATTTCCAGCAGCGAAGAGTTGGAATGGACCGCGGAGAAACCTTCTCTCGTAAGTACAAACATCATCTTAGGTTAGATCACACAGGCCGCCTGTCTTTAAGGACTGAGTGTAAGCTATAGTCAATGGATAGTCTTCTAAGCTTCCTGAAACCAGCTTAAAACACTTTTACGGCCCCCTTGTTCAGCTTAGTCACTATAGATATCTTGACCTTGACCTTGAGCTCTACAATTGTAAACTTCTCTAGCCTGCGGTGGTGGCACACACCTTTAATCCCAGCACTTGGGAGGCAGAGGCAGACAAATCTCTGAGTTCAAGACCAGCCTGGTCTATAGAGCTAGTTTCAGTATAGCCAAGGTTACTCTGAGAAACCCTGTCTCGAAAAAACCAAACCAAAACAAAAAAAATTGTAAATCTCTCTGTTGAGTATTCTCTCATGGGGGGAAGAGAGGGTCATTTCTGTGCCTTAAGGATATGCTCTATTGAAGTGATGCCTTAAAAAACATAGCTAAGTTGTAACACAGCAAATGTGTCAGCCCTTCCTTATATTTGCTACAAATTTACTGCTTTGAAGACTTAAATTTTGTTTTCTGTTACAACTCAAGCATACTGAGGAAAATCAATATAGGCTACTATTCTCTCACGAGCCTGTCGCTGTTTTAGTGGGGAGCGTGGGGAGCGGTGTGGCATGTGTTTGCATAAGACGTGTGGGGAGTGGAGACGTGCCAGAGCATGTGTGTCAAGGCTGGAAGACAGCTTTGTGGAACCAGTCCTCTTCTTCCACCTTTGTCTGGATTCCAGGGGTTGACAGGCATCTGGAGATGCAATCTGAGGTCAGGATCACCCCTTTGTTTGTACAAGCATCAGTAGAGGTAAGAACTCTCCAGTGACTGGCTGCTCTGCTTCTCTGACCCTTCAGCTTTCACTCCCTAATATCTGACTCCTGGTTTTATTTATTAAGACCAATTAGAATTTGTGCTACAATTCTGCTTTAAATTCTTTTAGAAACCTGTAGTGTTTCTCAAAGCCTTTCATGGCCCTATATTCCTGGTTCACAAAAGGCTCCAATTCTTCCATACCCTCAGCCACACTTTGCAGGTTTTGTGGAATCAATCAGTGATGTTGTTTTGCTTTTTGAAATAGCTATCCCCAACATAGGGGAAATCTCACTGTGTGTGCTGTTTGCTTGCTTGTTTGTTTGTTTGTTTTAGGCATAACCTCACTAAATAGCTCTAGCTGGCCTCAAACTCAGAGATCTACCTGCTTTTTCCTCCTGAGTACGAGGATTAAAAGTGTGTGTCACATTGCCAACATCATTGTGGTTAGATCTGCCTTCTGTAAGGACTGGGGATGCTGACCATCTCTTCATGTTCCTATCGACCATTTACATAATCTACTTTGGGAAAAGATGTCTTTTTAAGTCTTTGTTCATTTGTGGTCATGTTCTTTCGGAATTACTGGGCATTATTCTGAATATTAATATCCTGTGCCAGATGTGATTAGCAAGTATTTTCTTTCTTCTATGGGCTGCTTTTCTTTACCTTACTTTTATTTTTTGTTTGTTTGTTTGGTTAGTTGGTTGGGGTTTTTTTTTTAAGGGTTTTGTTGTTGTTTTGGGGGTTGTTTGTTTGTTTGGTTTTTTGAAACAGGGTTTCTCTATGTAGTCTTATCTGTCCTGGAACTCATTCTGTAGACCAGGCAGATTCCTGTCTCCCTGGTTCTGGGATTAGTGGCATGGACCACCGTGCCTAGCTGGTCTTCTCACCTTGCTGAGAGTGTCCTTTGGTACACAGATATTTTGAACTTTGGGGAGGGATGTTTCAATGTCTATGGAGGCCAGAAGAACGCACTGTGGGGAGAGAGAAGGAATCAAGGTCAAATTCTGGGGACCTTCAGTAGAGCAGGGGAAAAGTGATGTGGAAATGTCAGCATTAATGAAGTGCTTCAGATGGGATGATCACCTCAGTATATTGAATGCTGACAGATTTTTAGTATTATTATTTTTCTGGAACCACTAAAGTTGGTTAGCAGGTGAAGTTTCTTGCCACCAAGCCTGAATGACCTGAGTTCAATCCCTGTGACCCAGGTGAGGGAGAGAAGTGATTCCCTCAGGTTGCCCTGAGACCTCCACATGTGTACCATGGCTGACCTCCACATGTGTGCCCTGTGACCTCCACATGTGTGCCCTGTGACCTCCACATGTGTGTCATGGCTGACCTCCACATGTGTACCATGGCTGACCTCCACATGTGTGCCCTGTGACCTCCACATGTGTGCCCTGTGACCTCCACATGTGTGCCCTGTGACCTCCACATGTGTGCCCTGTGACCTCCACATGTGTGCCCTGTGACCTCCACATGTGTGCCCTGTGACCTCCACATGTGTGCCCTGTGACCTCCACATGTGTACCATGGCTGACCTCCACATGTGTGCCCTGTGACCTCCACATGTGTGCCCTGTGACCTCCACATGTGTGCCCTGTGACCTCCACATGTGTGCCCTGTGACCTCCACATGTGTGCCATGGCAATGCACACCGTTACCCACAACAAAAACACAAAATAAAAATAAAAAGAAAAACTTAGGTTTCTGTATTTTCAGGATCTCAGCAGTCTTCATTCACGTAGGCTTCTGATGAAGCAAAGATACCCTTAATATGTTGGCTCCCATACCGTGGCTTATATTCATTTATAGACCAGAGCGAGCACTGTCCCGTGGAGCTGCACCTCTTTTCATAAAATTCTTAGGGGGAAGAAGCTAGATGGTTAAAAGAAACAAAAAATAAGCTGGGTAGTGGTGGCGCACGCCTTTAATCCCAGCACTCAGGAGGCAGAGGCAGGCGGATCTCTGTGAGTTCAAGGCCAGCCTGGTCTAGAAGAGCTAGTTCCAGGACAGGAACCAAAAAAAGATAAGGAGAAACCCTGTCTCAAAAATCAAAAAAAAAAAAAAAAAAAAAAGAAAAGAAACAAAAAATAAATCTCGAAAGTTTGTTGAATATATATATATAAGCATAAACAATATCTTAATTAAAAGAACATTATTAAATACATGAAAGTATATCCAAATACCTTTGGCTATGAAAATAATAAAAGAGAAACTTTATCTGTTTTTGTTTTTGTTTTTTCAGAATTCCAAAATACTAACCAACTTGTTGAACACCCTGGGGCAACACCCTCACATTCACACGTTAATGAAGAGGATCACCTATCAACCGAATCCCTTAAGTTTGGAGGGGTATTTAATTTTTTAATTTACCTTTAATTTAAAAATCGGAAACTTTAAACGAGATTTGAAAACATTAGTGGACTTTTATAAAATGTATCTGACATGAGATTTCCAAGGGAAGAATTCCTTTATGCTACAGGAAAAATAACTTGCGATCATTTCGGCTGACAATCAACTCAGAAAACACCAGTCAGACTGGTGTTTAAAAACCTAACCCTCAATCTAAAAGCCTCAAAAGCGGTGACCATGTCCCTAAATGTTCCCAGCTCAGCTGTGAAAGTGGACTATAGCTGTGTGTGACTGTAATAGTCCCTGCCTCCACCAGTGCCCCATAACACACAGGTTCTCTAATAACCAGAAAGGCAACCTCTGTTAACCAGCAAAGGTAGATCACAAGGTACAGACAGGCTTTCTTAACCTCCTGAGCACCTAGTCACAGGCAGAGTGGGTTGGAGCTAAGGGATATAGTTACTGTCTTCAACAAGGGAACCGAGATGTTCCCATGGAAGTGAACCCAGGCTACTGAGTGACACACTGCCCGACCCAGGCCTGCAGGAGAGGGCGGCGGGAGTACTTTCCTGAAAGTGAAGTGGCCAAATCGGGAGTCTTCTCAGTGTGGGTGAGGGGTGACAAGTTCCAAGACTTGCAGAAAACTGCAATGAATAGGTAAAGAAGTGCCACTCAGATCTTCGGAGGAGTAAGTCGGAACTCAAATTATTCATGCTTTTATAACACTGTGGCAATGTAGGACCAGCGGTCCCTATAAAACCAAACTGCAGGCTGTCTCTGATGGAGCAGAAGGGCTGGGATTAAAGGTGTGTGCCACCACTGCCCGGCCCTTTCCTATTTTTAACAAGCTTTGTTGAATGATAACTTACACGCCAAATATTCCACCGTTGTAAACTATGGTTCACACCCATTCAGTGGTCGGGACATCCCCACTTGCCCACCCGGTGCCACTATTATATGAACATGACTCCTGGTTCAGTCACTCTCAAGTTGGCAAGCACCTTGGTTATACTTCCCTTCAGCTCTGCTGTGTACCATGCTGCTGGGAGCATCTGCATGTTGATTTGCAGCTGCCACCATGCAGCTTCTCCTCAACATGCAGAAACTGCTCAATTTCTGGGGCTTGTGGTATCTCTCACATCTGGTTTTTGAGGGATGACTTAAACTGTGCGGTTTTAAAGTTGCTACCCTTCTCAGATCTCCCTCGGCAGAACAGAAAGTTTCCTGCTTCTCTACACCCATTGCATGACACCTGTTATTGTCTGCTTTATATAGCAGTAACCATAGAAGGACCCGCTGATGAAATTAATAAGTGTGGTATAGTTGACTTCAGAGGGAAGAAGGAAAGGCATATCTAAGGGATTTGTCTTCATCTGTCATACAAGAAAGCAATAGGTAATGTGTAAAACTGTATGTTAAGAAAGAGGGGGATAGGACTGTTTACTTGGCGTTAGTGAGACATACTGCAGAAAAAAGAGCATCCAAAATCAAGAGTATTTTCCTCTCTGAGTGAAGAATAAACAAATGGAGCCATGGCAGCCTATGTTGATAAAAGCTTAGAATTTTTTTAGATGTATAAACTGTGCATGATGGATCAGAGAAAGCAGAGATAATTTTTCTTCTCTCTTTTTTCTTTTCTTTTTCATTTTTCTTTCCTTAGAACCTGGAACTTTACTCTGCCAATGTCCTCAGATGATGTAGTGAAAGAGATAAGAGGAACCAAAGTGGCTTTTCAAGATTGCTTCGTTTCCAATCGCCCCTTCCTTCTGACGTTTCCATTGTTGCTCCTCTCCTCAGGCCCAGCAGACTTACCAGTCACGCTGCCTGCTGGAAGTCCATTGATGAGTGGCAGTGGTGTCTGCGTTTATACGTTTTCTGTCCTGGTCACTGAAGATGAAACCTTCCAAACAAATGATTCCTTCCTTACCTGGACCAGGATAAGAATCCCCCCAGGTAGCCTGAGTGAAACTGACAGGCACAACGTCAGTGATGTGACCATACTCAAAGGTGCAATTGTTTTTATAATAAGTGGTGGTATTTACGTAAAAACTGAGGGGTCATTTAGAAGACTGGGCAAGAAAGACGGTGCTCCTGAAAATGGCGTTGTTGGCGTTTCAAGAAGAAAGTGGTGTAAGGTCAGGTATTTATTTAAGGTTAGTGAAAGGTGATAAATGTGAGTATGTGTGTTATCTATATATTACTATAATGTTTATTCAGTACTATATTAGGGGCTCTACAAAGCATCTTTTTGCATGGTTATTTTCTCTCTCAGCCAATAGCCCCACTAACCTCCTAAGACCATACAAGATTCAGCACGGCCGGGCAGTGGTGGCGCACGCCTTTAATCCCAGCACTCGGGAGGCAGAGGCAGGCGGATCTTTGTGAGTTCGAGACCAGCCTGGTCTACAGAGCTAGTTCTAGGACAGGCTCCAAAGCCACAGAGAAACCCTGTCTCGAAAAAAAAAAAAAAAAAGAACAAACAAAAAAAAAGATTCAGCATGTTCAAGCTCATATTTGGCTAAAGACAGTTATTTAAAGATGTAAACAACTATATCTCTGAAATTCAAGTTTTCTGAGGTATCTTAGCAATAAAGATGTTATCCCCAGTGACAAAGAAAAAAATTAATCTTGTATGCTATCATGAAGAGCAACGCAGTCACACTGTGAGGACTGAGCTTCCCTATATATGTTCCCCCAAGATCCTGTGTGCTTTCAAAAGTTAACCAACCTGCCCACAATAGTATGGGGAATAGATACCAAAGCATTCTCACTACAAAACATAAATATTGCACAAAAATGTAAATGTTCTTTTAATACATCGTTGGGCTCCTAAAGAAACATGGCAAAAGCAAGCACATATGTTGAACATTAAAATGTATGAAATAACCAAGTCAACCATGAAGGATGGTCTGAATGATGTGTGGCTACAGTTCCAGTTGCCGTGAATCCTGGACAGTAGGGCTGGGCTATTCCTGGTAGCAAAGATAGGGCCTGGCTTTCTTACAACATTCTCAGCTTCGGTGGTAATGAGCGTGGCTGCTCTGACACCCACCTCACAAACACTTCATAAAGCGTTTCATAGAGCCACAACATAGGACCCACCAAGCTGCTCCCCACCTCAGGGAAGCTCACCCCACTCTTGCCTTGGGGTGCTCTGCTCAGCTTTATCAACCCCACTGATGCTTTGGGAAATGAGCTTTCACTTAACCTGTGTCTTGATTGAATTCATCCTTTCAAAGAGAACACTCCCACCCCACCACGTACTCCCAATCCCCACCTCCCCACAACTTTCCCACAGTAAGAGAAATTCTGGGAGGAAAAAAGCTGTCCCAAAGGGCTGGCCCAGAAGAAGATGCAAATTTTAACATGTGCGCTGTCCTCAGGACTGACCTCTGACCGTCAAAGTTCAGATACCAGGAGGCGAAGCCTTAGGACAGAGTAAAGTTGGGGGGAGGGCATGGAACAAACTCTTTTTGCATAAAACAATAACCTCCAAAGAGATCCTAATACATCCAAACCTCTGTCAGCTTTCATTACAGAAAGTGGAGGGACTGGAGATTGGCTTAGCAGCAAAGAGCGCTGAGTGCTCTCCCAGAGGACCTGACTTTGAGTCCCAGCACCCACATGGTAGCTCAGAAACATCTGTAACTCCAGTCCGAAGGGATCCAATACCCTCTTTTGACCTCCTTAGGCATCAGAAATGCACATGGATGTACAGACATTTATCTAAGCAAAACACTCATATACATGAAATGATAAAATAAATCTAAAAATTAAATGTTGTAAACACTAGGATAGTTTAAAAATGCCGGTGATACTTAAGAATATACAAGCATACACATATGGAAAAGAGGTCATGTATTTGAGAGAGAACAAGAAGGGGATATGGAAGAATTTGGAGTAATAGAAAGAAAGGGGAAAATGATGTAATTATATTAAAATCTCAAAAATAAAAGAACCGTTTCTTTAAAGTGTTTCCCTCTGGAGTGTTCCTACACAGCAGCCAGCTCACGGTCGCTTAGGTGTTTGAATTCACAGTATTTATGTGGGTTACTTACATGTGACACCTGGAAAGGGAAATCTATTGAGTAATTACCAAGTTGGCCTCTGTGGATCATCTCTATTGTTAATTGGTGGTGAAGGCCCAGCCTCGAAGTAGCCAGCGCCATTTCCTAGGGTTTGGTTCTGAACTGGGTCGTGTGTGGAGCAATGGGCACCAGCGAGAGAGGGCGCCAGTGTGGAGAACACAAGTTCACATGCTTTCATTCTCTCTCTGCTCTTGACTGTGGATGCGACACTGCTTCCAGCTCCCATCTTGACCTCCTTACAGTGTTGAACTGCAACCTGGGACTGGGAGCCAAATCAACCCAAATCCTTCTCCCTTGGGGCTGCCCTTGGTTAGTTTTTGATCACAGGAATTGGAAAGATTGGGAAGACACATTTCTGTATCAGAAAAGAAGAAATTCTCAAATCAAACATCTCTGTTTCCATATTAAAGAAGTAGCTGAGAGCTCTGAAGGGATGCCATAGTAGGGTCTTTCTTCTATTACATATCAGTATCAATATTCATTTTAAAAGCTTGTAGTAATTACAAAATATCTATAGCAGGTTTTTTTTTTTTTTCTTCATAGTGGTTCTGCCTTTACCCAACTCTGGCATATCCCATCTTCCAGAACTTCAACTTAGTGGTGTAAAGTGGCATTTCATTTTAATCTTATATCTAGACATCCTGTTTTTTCTTTCATAGTGCTGGAGTTAGAACCCAGAACCTCACTTCCAGTCCCTAGGTCTTATGTATTTCTTGCTCGTGTCTTTCTTCTCTTTAACCATCACCCTTTCTGTATCTTTGTATTTAAGGAGAGTTTTTTATAGACTTAAAAGTTTTTGTGTTGTTGTTGTTTTTTTAATCCATGATGATAATCTCTGCCGTTGAGTAGAATCTGTTTAGACGTAGTGTTAACTATTACTATAGCTGGATTAAGACTAGTAATTGGGAGGCTGGAGAGATTGCTCGATGGTGAGGAGTGCTTGCTGCTCAATCATGAAGATCAGAGTTCAGATCCTAGCACCTATGACAGGCAGCTCTCAAAGACTGTACTAGAGCTCAGTACTGAGAGATCCAAGGTATTTGTTTGGCCTCCCTGGGCACCTGAATACCTGTGGGCATACACACACACACATACACCCCAAACCTTTGGGAGGAAAAGACCACTGTTTTGGCTTCTTTTCCCCTCTACCAGGCATTGAAGCTAGGTCCTCATGCATCGTTGTCAATCATTCTACCACTGAGTCACCTCCCAACAGCAACATCTATTTTCTTTCTATCCCACTGGTTCTTTGGTCCTTTGTTTCTTCATTCTTACCTCATTCTAAATGGACTGTAAAAATTTTTAGTATTTTTGCATTGTCTCATATAGATTTTTTAAAATAGGAACTATTTTTAGTGGTAAAACTGAGATTTATAATAATAATCTTTAACTTATCAGGTTTACTTTTCAATGATATACTATGTAAAGCTCAATAAAAATCGATAAAAAAATAGCATACAATGTCACAACACTGTAGAAGCTTGTGACTGTGTCTTTGTATTTATACTCCAGTCCTTTGTATGGTCTCATATTTTACTTCTAATGCATTGTTAATATCATACTTTGAGTCATCTAATATCAGAGAAACACATAGATGATAGTGTAAAATGATAAAAATTAAAACAAAGAAAACTGGTTTTTTTCTTGTTTCATGGGATATTTGGGTTAGTTTGTTTGTTTGTTTGTAATTGAGACAAATTACACACTGCATCTAACTAAGAAGTAGCCTCCCTCAAGCTCCCAGCTTCTGGGACTACTACAGGTGTTCACGACCACGGCAAGAGTGATCAATAAGAAGCCAAGAAAGGCTGATATTTTCAAGTGTAAAGGAAAATATCATTGATTCTTTCTACTGCTAGAAATATGAGGAAAAATTAATGTAACTATGTCTTTTCATGATATCTAGTATGACATGTTTTTCTCTATTGGACGTCAGTTCCTAAAGTTTTATTCTGAAATATGCTTGGTAATAGCTCGGTAACTACCTCCTTTTCACTTCATCACTTTGGTGCTGGGGATGAAAGCCAGAGTCTCGGGAGCCCAGGAGTCTGTGCCACTGAAGAGCTGGCACTCCCCTCACTCTCTGCTCTTCACTGTCAAGAGCAGGAAAAGACAGAAGACAGAAATTGCCAGACCACTCTCTGTCCCTGAAAATTTTTCCTTTTTTTCTTTTCTAGTTTGAAAAAAAAAGAAGCAGAATGGCAATATGGACAAAAAATGAAATTTATCTTGGATATCCTAAATTTAAATATGAAAAAATACTAGATATCTCAGAACTGAAAGACGTGCTGAAGTTTGGTAGTAACGACGAAGTAGAAATACATTATTTGGCTTACACGTGGCACCCTCTGGAGCTTGCTGCACTAGTATCCTATTGCTCCCCATGCACTACCACCAAAAAGATGTTCTTGCTGCTGTATAACGAGGATGCACCAAAGTGGGTACTCCAGGACTTCCAACTAGAGGTGCCCGTGGACAGAACATTGAAAGCATATTTCCTTTACTCGGCCCTGCCGGATTTGATCTTGTGGGATGACAGCAACATATACTATTTCTACAAAAACTACAGCATTCGTGGAATTTTAACAGCAGAGTCAGGAGAGAGCAATCTGTCAAAGTTATCAGGTGGCAGCAAAATCCACAACATCATTTCAGGTGAGGAGTTCTCAACCCTGCCAAAAGTATTCTGGGTTTCGTTGTATTGGTGTTCCAATATTTGGCGCCTTTGATGGCTGTGGGTATATATTTAGCCACCTAAAGCTTAATCACTTTTAAACTTGACCAGTGTTAAACTGTGATCCCATGTGGCAGAATGGTGGACTCAAAAGTTTCATTTCACTAGGTTGGCAGATGCTAAGGGAGAAGTTTATTTATTTGTCAGGGTAGGAGGTGCTGTGCTGTCTTTTGTTTTGTTTTGTTCTTTTGAGCAGAGCTCCTCTGTGTAACAACCCTGTCTGTCCTGGAACTGAACTTTGCAGACAAGGCTGACCTCGAACTCTGAAAGTGTTATATTGTTTAATGTTCCTAAGGTTCGCACAACTAAGTACCTTGATCTGTAGCTCCATGCCACAGTCCTACAAGCCAGCTAGGAACCAGAAATCAAGTTGCCAGCAGAACATGCTCCTCTGTAACCTGGAATTTGGGGAGTGGGTGGTGTTTTCTCTTTGTTTTATTTTTGCCTTTCCCCTTTGTAGGCAGAAACTGTTTGTTTCTGGGCTACCCAGACCTGAATAATCACACAGAAACTATATTAATCACAACACTATTTGGCCAATAACTTAGGCATATTTTTAGCTAACTCTTACATCTTAAATTAATCCATAATTCTTGTCTGTGTTAGGCACATGGCTTGGTACCTTTCATCAGTGAGACATTCTCATTTACTTCCTCTGTGTCTGGGTGACGACTGCAGACTGAGCCTTTGCTCCTCCCAGAATTCTCCTATTCGGGTTGCCCTGCCTACATTTTCCTGCCTGGCTACTGGCCAATCAACATTTTATTAAACCAATACAAGTGACAAATCATTACAGAGTACAAGACCATTGTCCCACAGTAACCTGTAGTAAAGAGAGAGAGAGAGAGAGAGAGAGAGAGAGGAGAGAGAGAGAGAGAGAGAGAGAGAGAGAGGAGAGAGAGAGATGTGTCCCACCACCTGGCTAGCTTATGCCTGAAATAATCACACGGAACTGGTATTAATTAGATTACTGTCTGGCCCATTATGTCTAGCCTCTTTTTGGCTAATTCTTACATCTTACTTTAACCCATATCTAGTAATCTGGGTAGCACCATGTGATTGTGGTTTACTGGCAAGGGTCTAACCAATGTCTGTCTCAGGCAGGAGAAACATGGCGTCTGCCACACTTAACTTCTTCCCAGCATTCTGTTCTGTCTCCTCTGCCCACCTATGGGCTGCCCTATCAAAAGGCCAAGGCAGCTTCTTTATTTAACCAATGAAATGAACACGAATACAGAAGGACCTCCTACACCAGTAACCCATCTCAAGGACACATCAGTCCAGTCTCTCCTCCTGTTACTGTACTGTGTTCTTCATGTGCACCTTATTTTCATGTGGACACCTTTTGAAAGGACACAACCAAAGCAGGGAGATACTCCGTGTATACAAACGCTTGCTGCTCAAGCCCAGTGACCCAAGTTTGGATCCCCAGGACTGGGCACAGTAACATAGCATTTATTATCCCAGCACACCCATGGGAAATGAGAGGTTGGGAGCAAAGATAGGAGATTGCTGGCCAGCTAGCTTAGTTTATAACTGGTGGGAAGACCCTGCCTCAGAGAAGGCATGAAGGAGAGCAGCTCTGCCACCTGAAGGTTGTCCTTTAACCTTTCTTACACACTACCAGTGAGTTAAACCCCCCAAACCCCAATGTAGGTTTATATAGATCTATATTCTAATCCACAAACAAACCACCCAAAATAGTTAAGCCTCAATTTTCCAGTCATCTGGAGAAATGGATTTATATGTCATAATTTGCAGTTAACCCTTTCTTGAACCCATGTTACCCTCTACCTCACAGCACTTCAGTTTTCTTCCCCATATATTGCAAGAAAGTGTTGTATAGCAGCACTCTTTGTCCCTCTCCGCTGTTTCCCTTCAAATCAAAACTCAGCAGACTCTCAACCAGTCAGCCTTCTTAACTCAGAGTTCGCTTTTTGGGCACCTTGAGTGATCCACCGGTGCCTTTTGAAAAAATTTAACATGATCTCTGGGCCTTTCCTTAAAATGCCTTTTTAACTTGGCTTCTAGAGAATCTCTTCTCCCCATGTGTACTCCTCCTCCTCCTCCTTCTTCTTACCCCTCAACATCATAACTTCAGAACAGCAAGCCAAGCACCCCAGAGCATGTTTTGCTGACTTCGGAACTCTGTTGATCCTTGTGGTTTGCCCTGCAGCCAGCATCCCCAGGCTGATCTCACTGCTCCTATCTCCGGCTGCCCTTTCCAACACATTTATGGGGATGAGTAGCAGTCATTCCAAATCTCAAGTGTCCGAGATGTTTATATTGAAAGATGCCTAAGGAGATTTGTAAAATACACCTCTTTGTATGTCTGTGAGAGCAAGGGATGCTTAACTGAAGGAGGTTGGGGAACCTGCCCTGAGTGTCATCACAAAATCCCATTGGCTGGAGTCCTGAATGAAATAAGAGAAGAGGAGAGAGCCGGCCAGCGCAGGCACTTCCCTGCTTTCTGCCCACCATGAAATAAGCAGCCTCCCCTTCCATGGGCTCCTGCTAGCACGGTAGTGAGCACCTATTTGGGCCTAAAGTCAGACAGTCAGCTCACTTGAGACTCAACTCTCAACCCGTAAGTCAAAATGAATTACTCCTTCTTCTAAACTGTTTCTGTCAATGAGAACATGATCAACCAAACCACACAGAACAAAAATGGTACCAGACAGATACAGTCACTATTGTAGCCAGATTTGACTGTAGTTCTTTTTTTTTCAGTGCCTAAGACAAAGGTTTTTTTTTATTGCTTTATAAATAATACCATTCAAAATTTCCACTTCCTCCCCTCCTCCCATTTCCCTCCCGCTCCCACCTCCCCTTTCCCCTCCAGTCCTAAGAGAGGGCAGGGTGTCTGCCCTCTGGGAAGTCCAAGGTCCTCCCCGCTCCATCCAGGCTTAGAAAGGTATAGTTCTTAAACCTCTGAGGCTCACCTGTAGTAATAATCTGGAAAAGTATGAAGGTGCAGGCTAGTGCAGTTCTGGAATGTTACATGCAAGACTTAAAATGTACTTTTGTTTTAATTATGTACATATGTGAGGGGGGGGGTTATGAGCACATGAGTCCAGGTACCTGGGATGCCAGAAAAGGGTTATCTGGAGCTGGAATTACAGGCAGTTGTGAGCTGCCCGTGCCAAGAGTGCTGGGGACAGAACTTAGGGCCTCTGGAAGAACAGTTCTGGACACCAAGCTCAATGGTCCAGTTCTGGTGAGAGCTCAGAAGATCAAACTGTCATTAGAAATGTGGGCAGGAATGACTGGGTTAAGGAATCTGAGAAGACATCCATGTTCCAGCCTGGCAAAGAACTTGGCTATGTTCTGCTCGTGTCCAGAGCCTGCTCATATCCAGAGGCTGAGATTTAAAGTAAAAATCAAATTAATTTTGTGAAGGGACTGTCAAGACAGCCTGCATTACAGGTTTTACTGGCTGCTTTAGCAAGGTTCTTGGGAACCGAGAGCAAAAAGGATGGAAATCTTTTTTTTTTTTTTTTTTTTTTATAAATCCTTTCAGATAAGGATGGAAATCTTTGATGTTTGCACAGAAAGGTCTGTGAAAATTTGAGGCTGAGGAAGGCCTGCTTTCTGAAGAGATTGCCACTATTAACTAAAAGCCATGTGTTTTGTCTTTGGAACCATAGAAAAAGTTACCTTGGGAACTGGGTAGGACTCACCCAGTGCATACTCGAAGGTATCAAAGAATACAAGCATGTGAGAGTCTCTCCCCTTTGAAAGGAGCCTCCAGGGTACCCTGCCAGCACAGAAGACCTCAGAAGCTGTTTCTCAAGATTTTTTTCACTATGCTCAGTCACATAGGTACTCAGAGGCCAGTGTGGCTGTGGTCTAAGGGAGCCTGGCCACCCCTGAAATTGGCAATAGACCTTGGCTTCATCCACTCTATGACAGTTTTGTAGGCATGCAAACTATAAGAGCTAATGGGGTAGTGTGTTGTAGGAAGCTGCTTGTTTGTCCTGGCCTCCCAGAACCAAAATAATCACACAGAAATCATATTATTTACAATTCTGTTTGGCTAATATCTCAAGCATATTTCTTGCTAACTCATATCTTAAATTAACCCATCTCCATTAATCTGTGTATCGCCATGAGGCTGTGGCTTACCAGGTAAAGTTCCGGTGTCTGTCTCCAGTGGGGCTACATGGCTTCTCCCTGACTCCGCCTCCTTTCTTCCAGCATTCAGTTTAGTTCCCCCCACTCAACTGCCTACCTCTACTTTACCCTATCACAGGCCTAAGACAGTTTCTTTATTAACCAGTGGTATTTACAGCATATAGAGGGGAATCCCTTATTAGTGGTGGAGGCTTCCATCCAAATTCCAAAAGAAAGCCCCTGAAGCTAGGCAGTGTGACATACTTGTCATTCCCACAGGCAGTCCCTGACAGTCCCTGAGACAGTTCCTGGTTGGAGAAGTCAAGATGTAGCAACTTTCAGGAATGTAGAATATCTGCCAAGAATGGCCCTGGAGCCAGCTCAAGAGAGAGGCTGTTTAGGTTGAAGACTTCAAGGCCATCCCAGTGTAGCTGCCCTAGGCGCGTGGGGCCCACATCCCACCACCATAGTATGCCTTGAATACAAGGAATATTTCTGTAGGGCAAAACATTTGTCTTGAAAGATTTCCCATTTTTCTTTCCTCATCTTTCTCCCTTGAAATAAGAGTGTTTATTCTGTGTTACTGTGCCTCTAAAGTATTTAATTTGATCATGTTTACAGCTAAGACTTTGCCTTCAGTCTCAGAAGAAACTTCAAACTGTTTAGGCTGTTAAGACTTTGATGAACCTTAGAGATGGTGTTTTGATTGTAAGACATGATCATTGCAGGGGGCGGGGGGCACTCCATAGTGGTTTGTTTTAAGGTTGAATGTCAAATTGACAAGCAGTGGACTTTGATGGTCAGTCATGGTTGTCAAGTTGACTAAGAAATGCCTAAAGAGAAAACCAAAGCAAGAAGAAGAAGAGGAGGAGGAGGAGAAGAAGAAATACCCAGAATTACCTGGGCGGTGATGGCACATGCCTTTAATCCCAGCACTTGAGAGGCAGAGGCAGGCAGATCGCTGTGAGTTCGAGGCCAGCCTGGTCTTCAGAGCAAGTTCCAGGACAAGCTCCAAAGCAACAGAGAAACCCTGCCTCGAAAAAGAAAAGAAAAGAAAAGCCTAAAGACAAAGCATGGAGACTAGTAAAGAAAGCCCCTAAGTATTTCCAGGTAGGATTAAGGGGAAAATACCTACTCTGAGTGGGGCAATACCATCCCATAGGTTGGAGGCTTAGATGAAATAAAAGGGGAAAACACGCCAGTAATAGGCATTCTCTCTAAACTCCTCAGTAACTGAATCGAGCATGCTCAAGTAGTTGAAATGTCAGGCAAGGACTCAAGAATCTAGTTTTTGTTGTTTTATAATGTTGTTTTAGTTGTGTTGTTTTGTTTTTCAAATCAGTAACCTTAAAGAGAATTCGAAAAAGCAAATGAAATAAGGAAGTGAATAAAAGACAAGAAAACCAACCCTGAAATCCAGCAAGGAAAGCAGGATTTTGGAAAACCAAACGAACAGAAACGTAGGAAACGAAAACGCAGTGGAAAGCATCACCTGTAAATGGGACCAAGCAGGAGTGGGGAGACAGGCTGGGGGGTGGGGGATGGGACGACCATGTCAAGGACTGAATGTAAAAATCACAGCCATATCGCATTCATCTGGCAACGTTTTTAAGAACTGAGCATGGATCACTGTAACTGGGGAACAGAAGGGCCGGTCAGGAGCCGCCTTCAGGTGCTGCTGCGAGTGTGCAGGGTGAAGGAGCAGAGCTTGGGCTGCTCCGAAGAAAGAGCAGAGGAACACAGGAAGTCACAAGGGGAGCCACACTCCTCCCAAGTATGGGAAAACCCTTGCTTTCATACTGATAGTCACCACTGATAGGAGGAATGTGTGGATCTCGTTTTATTACATGTAGTTCTTACATGTGAGACGTAAACCTACTCTGTGCTTAGCTGCCACTCTGTAGATTTTCTCTGCATCCCATTGGACGCCCTATGTGAGGTATATGTTGATGAAGTTTATCTTAACAGCATGAGATGGTCGTGTGTCTCGGTCCTTTCTCACGGTCACTTAGCACCATTGTCTCATGTGCCATCCCGCTTTCCCGTTCCCTTGCCCTGTCACCGCGGATCGCCGCTCTTCCCTGCTCAAGTCAGTTCTGGAGAGCCCGCCATCTCGACTGACTGGCTCAGGTCTCCCACCAGAGCAGGCACTTTTCTTCTGTGCCTCAGTATGTGTTGTCTGTCATCTTTAATTTCATTAAGGCCCATCCTTTTCCTTTGTTGCAAAACGTTGCTACTATTGTGTTTTTCTGTTTTTGCTCCCCCTCCCCTTTGAAAGAAGTCAGTTTTGTTTATCAAAGTCCCATCCTTTCGACCTTGTGTCACGAGCAGTCCATCACTTCCACTCCTTCTCTGTAATTTTGGTGGCCTGTGTCTGCTTCTGAATGCGATGATCTAATTTATTCTTTCCCTTCTTTGCCTTCACTAAACTCTATAAATGACGACTGAGTAAGGCATTTGCATTAGGACCTGAGTTCAGAACCCCAGAACCAATGCAAAGCCGGAAACAGAAGCACATGCCTATATTTCCAATGTTCTATGGCAAGATAGGAGGTCAAGACAAGAACAGCTCCAGAAACTCATGAGCCAGTTAGTATGGTATGGACAGTAACAAACAGTAAAAGTTAAATATCTCAAGCAAAGTCGAGGTGAGAAGTGACACCTGACACCTAAGGTTGTCCTGAAACAGCCTATTTTTCTGGTTGTTTTTTATTCGTTGGGGGGGATATGGGTCTCTCCTTCCATCCTGTGACTCTCAGGACCAATCTCAGGTCATCAGGTTTGGTGGTAGGAGCCCTTACCCACTAAGTCATCTCTCCAGCCTACCTATTGTTTTGTTTGGAAAGGTTTTTAATTGTAGACAGATTCGATTTATATGCAGATTTAATTGTACCCTGTAACTGCTTAATCATTTACCAAAAATATCCACTATGTCATCCCCACACACATTTCTTCCCTTCCACCTCTTGATTCACTGCATACATTTCTGATTATGCAAATTTAATTAGTATATTATTATTATTATTATTTTTCGAGACAGGGTTTCTCTGTAGCTTTGGAGCCTGTCCTGGAAACTAGCTCTTGTAGACCAGGCTGGCCTCGAACTCCCAGAGATCCTCCTGTCTCTGCCTCCCGAGTGCTGGGATTAAAGGTGTGCGCCACCACGGCCCGGCTAATTAGTATATTATTTATGGTAATTTATGAATTAGTGATTTACTCTGCTTGCAAATGTAAGATACATTGAGCACCATACACCCCTGACTCCATGCTTCCAACCAGTCATCTCCGAGTGTTGCCCTAGTCCTGTCCCATTTTAGGCCAAGCACTCTGTTAAGGTGAGAAAGACAGTGGCTTCTCATCCAGTACGGAATGCATTATCCTACCAGGATGACCCACACAATACTACAGGCTGAGGGCTTTAAACAATACACATAAATTCCCTCACATTTCTGCCAGTCCAGAGTCAAGGCACTATCAGGAATGAATTCTATTGAGCCGACAGACAGTCTCCTCCTCACTGTCTTCCCAGGACCCTAACCTCAGTGTGTGTGTGTGTGTGTGTGTGTGTGTGTGTGTGTAGAGGGAGAGAGAGAGAGATCTTCCTGGAGGGTGTATTCCTCTTCTTTCAAGGATGCCAGTCCCACTAGGTTAGTGTCCTATGCTTATGACCTCATTTAACTAGAATTACTTCCTTAAAGGCTCTGTTCCCCAGTGTCGTTAGAGGGGCGAAGAAAGCTCCGGGAGACGAATTTGAAGGGAACACGAGTCTGACTGTAACATCCTCCTCTCTGATAGTCCCGCCCTTGCCACATTCATCCTCTTTACTTGAAACACTGCATATGTGGTGTGATAAATAAAAGAGACATGGTGGCTGTGAAGAGACGTGCTCCTTGAATACGTGCCAAGTTTCCTGCTTGTTCCCTCTAGTTTTTTTCAAGATACGTAGTCATAATAGAAGGGATTCTTTTCATTCAAAGTATACGTCAATAAAAACGTGACTTATGCTGACTTAAAATAACACAAATCTGGCCCAGTGAGAGGGCTCCGCAGGTCAAAAGTGCTTAACACCAAGCCTGACAATCTGAGTTTGATTCCGCGGAGCCCACAAACGGGAAAGAGAGAAGGAAATTTCCCAGATTTCCATTTGTGTGTTATAGCTTATGCATGTACGTGCAGGCACAGGCACACACAAATCAACACTACGAAACTAAATAACATGTAAACATTCTCTTCTCTCTCTTTTCCAGATCACAATGGGAATATTTTGGTAAAAATGGAAAATAACGTAATGTTCTTTTTCAAGTCTGACATTTCACAAGCAATCAAGCTACACGCGTGGATGAACACAACAGTAAAGACAGCGTTTTACACCAACCAGCTTATTAGACCTTATTTGTTATGTTATAGCGATCAAAACGGGCTGCAGCATCAGGAATACCCCTTATATCAGGAGCTCCAAAGTATATTTTACAAAACCCAAGAACAATGCCCGTATGTGGCATTTCAACACAATATTTTTAGTCAAATTTACTTTATGGACAAAGGAATTACCCTGACATTTTGGACTCAATTAGTCTACCTAGAAAATACAGGTCTCAGTATTGTTGTGGAGTACTACGGCCCAAATATATTGACCTGGACACAGGAAGTCTCCTATGAGATTGCCTCGGGCTTCTCCACCAAAAGTATGGTAAGTTGGTATTTTTTATTTAGTTTGAATAAACATAAAAACATGAGCTGCTTCTTGTTCTTGTTCTTCTTTTTGAGAGACAGAGAATGTTACTCGACAGGTAGGCTAGGCTAGTAAGCTGGTGAGCCCGAGGGGTCACCTGCCTCTGCACACCTGGGAAGAATTATCCGAAGTTAGTTCCTGGACATGCCTGTAAGAGATTTTCTTGAGTAGGTTAGTTGAAATGGAAAGTCTGAATTGAGCATGGCATCTGGGCTTCAGCCCAGACAGAAGCAAGTCAGAGGAGAAACCTTGGGCTTTAGCCTACTTGCCTTTGCTCCCACTGATGAGCGTATCTACCCGGGTTATACTGCCGCCACCACTGTTCCCACTGTTACTGGTGACATCAGAACCCAATTTTTTTTTTTTTTGTCCTTCTGACATGAAATGAAAACCAGCAGTTCTCCAGGAAACCCAAAGGCTTTCTGCACCAGAATGGGACTGTGGAAACGGCCAGCCTCCTAGACTAAGCAGCTGCTGGCCTACCAGCCTCTCTAGCATGAGGACTGCCCCCGTTGGACTAGCTAGACCATATCATGTAAGCCAGCCAAAAAACATCCCACTTCAAAAGTAGCTGCCAGGCTGTTACTGTCTCCAGAGTTTTGGGTACAGCCACTGTTGTGTACCCAGACTACATCATGTAAGTCAGTCTAATAAATCTGCTGTTTCCGTTCCTGGGGTGGGGGCTCTAATACCTGAGGAAGCAGACGAGCTCTGAGACAAACAAGGTATGTTACACAGCCGAGGAGAATGCAAACAATAGTTGAAGAGTCATTGCAGCCGTATTTCCAAACCATCACTGTAACAGAGGTAAATATAAGGTATATAGTATTGTGTATTGTATTTTAATATTATACAGTATTGTCAATATAGAGCATAATATTATTATACGATATTGCATTATTGATTGTCACATTATATATAATGTATTGTTACACATTAAAATATACTAATTATTAATACACAATAATAAAATCCCCAAAATGTGGGAGGCTGAAATTACAGGAGCACACATTCACACAGCGAGTGAACATTTTTAAAAACTCTCAAAAACAACAGAAAAGAAAAGGGTTCTGGCAACTGAAGCAAAGAAGATATGTGCGATGGTTCAGAGAAGAACCATCTAGAAAGGAAAATTACATTGTGGTCTTCTGATCTTAGGACGTAAGGAGACAGAAAAACCAAAGTGCTGCAGTGACCAAGGCTGAATGTGGGGAGCGTGAAACCTGAAAGGGGCCTGGGCAAGGATCCAGTCAGTGAGGTGCTTGCCCTGTAAGCACAAGGACATGAGTTTCATCCCAAAACCCATATATTTAAAACAACAACAACCCAGGTTTGGTAGCACACACTTTAAATCCCAGCATCTTGTTCTTAGAGACAGACAGATCCCTATGGCTAGCCACCAGCCCCACTTCAGTGACAGGCCCTGCCTCAAGAGGAAGTGGGCAATCTGGAGAGATGGCTCGGTGGTTAAGAGAACCTGAGTACCAATCTTGGTGCCCATATGATAGCTCACAACCATCTGTAACTCCAGTTCCAAGGGTTCTTATGCCCTCTTCTAGCTCGGAGGGCACTGTATGCATGTGGCACACATACATACAGACGTGCAGGCAAATACACATAAAATAAAAGGTAAAAGAAATTTTTTAAAGATCACAAATGATACCTGAGAAACAACACCCAAAGTTGTTCTCTGGCTTCCCCAAGGAATACATGGGCACATGCACACACACACACACACACACACACACACACACACGAGTAAAAGAAGGAACAACATACAATAATGTATACATAATTAAGATTTTACAAGAGAAAAATTTGGAAGAAAAAAAAAGGCCAGTAATGGCTGAACCCATAAAGACATTCGTCACCAAGCCTGAGGACCCACACAGTAGGAGAGAACCAACTCCTGTAAGTTGTCCTCTGACCTTTATATGTATGCCATGGCACATGCATACCCCGGCACACACACGCACAGACACGTGCACACACACATGCACAGACACACTAAATGGATAAATAAATAAATGTCAAGTATATTATTTCTCTTACTCAAACATTTAAATGTCTAAAGTATACAACGTGTCTTACAGAAAGTTGGTTTGCACTGATGAACACTGTAACCTGTTCCAGTGTATCTAGATGTCAAACCTAAATGATACTAACTTGAGGATCTGTTTCCACCTTTTCTGCTCAACAGAAACTTTTTGATTTTCTTTTTCAGTTAACAACGTTTTTTCAGCGAACAAATTACGAATTAGTAGATAATTACTTCCAGCTACAGTAAGTATGACTTTTAAATACATTCCTTGAGTTTCTGATGTTTTTGTTTTCTTTTATTTAAATGAACTCGCACCCTTCCCAATGTCCAAATTTCAAATTCTTTTGCATGTCTAGATATATGTAAAGTGAATATTCAGCCTTTAAAATGTAGGCACTCCTTGTAATCCAGTGGGATATGGTCTGACCAATGAACTCCAGGGGTCATCCTGTGTCTCTTTGCCCCCTTTGCTGGGATTACACTATGCCTATCTTTTACATGGGTGCAGGAGATCCAAACTCAGGTCCTCATGCTTATGTGAAATGGTGGCACATGTCTGTAATCCCAGCACTGGGGGCAAGGAGACACGGGATGATCCCTGGAGTTCATTGCTCTGCCATTCTAGTCCAATCAGTGAGGGTCAGTAAGAGCTTGTCTTAAAAACTAAGGTGGACAATGATTAAGAAAGATATCTGACGTCGACCTCTGGTCCCTACTAGCACATAAATGAGTACACACATGCATGTATACGCAGATGTATACACACACACACACACACACACACACACACCACAAAGAAGAAAGAAAAGACAACAAGATGGAGGAGCAGTGATAGGAAGAGCTTGGAGAAAATGCTTCTTGTATACAGTAGTCAGAAGAGTCTCTGTCACGCTTTCTTGTTCACTCTGGCTTTGAGGGATGGCTGATCTCAGCTGTCAATTGATGAGATCTAGATTTATTTAGGAGATGGTCTCTGAACATGCCTATGGGGATCATCATGCTTAGGCTAACTGAAGTGAGAAGACCAGACCTTTGTGAGTAGGACCATTCCCTGGTGAGCTGGCTAGTTTTATGTCAACTTGACACAAGTTAAATCATCTGAAAGGAGGCAACCTCCGTTGAGAAAATGCCTCCATAAGATCCAGCTATAGGGTGATTTCTTAATTAGTAATGGGAGAAGGCCCAGCCCATGCTGGATAGTGCCATTCCTGGGCTGGTGGTCCTGAGTTCTATTTAAAAAAAAAAAAAAAAAAAAAAGCAGGCTGAGCAAGCTATGCGGAGCAAGCCAGTAAGTAGCACCCCTCCTTGGTCTCTGCATCAGTTCCTGTGTCCAGGTGTCTACCCTATTTGAGTTCCTGTCCTGACATCCTCTGATGATACAGAAGTCTAAGTCAAATAAACCCTTTCCTCCCCAAATGGCTTTGGTCATGGTGTTTGATCACAGCAATAGTGACCCTAATTAAGACACCTGGAATGTAAATAGGGAAAGGTACAGCAGACGCAGCATTTATCCATCCCTGTTCTCTGGCTATGGATGTGATTCTTCTTGCTGCCTTCACTTCCTCATCAAGATAAACTCTACCTATGAACTGTGAACTCAATATAGACCCTCCTTTGTAACTGGAGGTTTCTTTCCCGCTCACCAGTTCCTGAATAACCACTCTGTGTCTTAATATTAATTACACACTGTTTAGACTATTGGTTCAGGCTTATTATTAACTAGATCTTACAACTTAACCCATTTCTTTTAGTCTGTATTTTACCACCTTGACGTGCTTTCTCCTGAATGTGCTCTTCTTTTTGCTCTGTGGAGTCCCCACCCCCTTGGCAACACCTTTGAAACAATGGAGAACAGTTCACCTCATAACCTCATTAAGTTGCATAATTGATTTGAACTCAAAGAAAGGCCAGATAGAAAGCCTTTCTTAGTACCATGTGTACATGGATCATTTTGTGTTTGAGTAAAATAGAGGTTTCAAAAAGAACAGAAACACAAGATTCAAAAGCTTGATTTCAGACACTACTTCCTGGTAAGATTTTGCTTTTCAGGCAGGGGTCTCGATGGAAAAGAAAATATCTTAGATAATTTTATGTGTGGTCTATACTGTGCAGAACCTCAGTACCCAGACACTGAGGATAGTTGTGAAGAGAGTGAGGAAGTCCCTAAAATGCTGCCGGATACTCACTTCTGTTTCATGCTGCGCTACTATCTGGTCAACGAGGAGATCCAATAGAGCAAAAAGGCGGTGGGGGGGAGTACTGGAGCTGCCGGAGGACATTTCCATAGTGAAGAGCTGCCTTCATGGAAGTAGCCACCTTCCAGGTTTCTTCAGCTCTTCAGAGGGTTCAACCCCACATGTGATAGGACTTCACATTTGCTCGATATAAAGACTGATTCCTGACTGTCTCCTACTGTCATGAGTCTACCATAACCTGCATGGATTATTTTTCCCAGGCAAAAGAACATGGGTCTCGTGCTTGTTCAATTCCGACCTACCGAATCTTCAAAAATGTGTCCAGTTTCTAAACAGGTGGGTAACATGGTCTGGAGATCAACTATTTTTCTTCAAAAATACATAGTCAGGGACTGGGAGGTGGGTCTGTGGATGAAGCGTTTGCCACACAAGCTGGAGGACTAGAGTTTGGCTCTTCAGAGCTCACATAAAGGCTGGGTGGGTGTGACAACCCAACTTGGATAATCCCAGCATTTGGATGGTGGAGTCAGAGGATCCCCAGAGCAAGCTGGCTGGCTAGACTAGTCACATCAGTGAGCTCTGACTTCAACGGAGAGACTCTGCCTCAAAAAACAAGGTTGAGAGCAGTTGAGGATGTTTCCTGGCACCAACCTAAGGCCTCCACACTTAAGTATACACATGGATATTCGCCTACACGTGTATGTACCTACACATACATGAGCCACGCTCATGAATTATTAAATAAGTCGTGAGCCTCCTGGGAAAATGGTCCAGAGACAGACAGTGCCGGCTCTGCCCTTTCTCCATCCAATTATGTCAGGCTCTTGTTAAAACCGCCAGATAGAATGAGCTACAGTGAGCCTGCCATCTTTACCATTCGATCTCATTGCCTGCAGCAAATAGAGCTGTTGTCTCCAACAAGGCAGCATGGCACCTCTCAACCGTGCACCAAGAGTTGAACAGGTGCAGCTCCCAGGTGTCCCCGCTAATTCTCTAGGAGAAGAATGATGCCATGAAAGGATGTTGCCCACCAGCATGTCAGTGATAATGGTCGTTAGAATTCCCATGTGGGGACATTGTTCCATAAGCTGGGCCTGCTGCTAAAGGGATGCCCAGCGGCTAAGTGTTGAGTTCCCAGGGTTTAGTCCTTAGCACCCACATGGGCTGGCTAATAACCGATTGTAACTCCAGCTCCAGGGGATCCCATGTCCTCTTCTGGCCTCTGTGAGCATCTGAATACATGTGGTGCACACACAAACAAGCATGCAAATACACAGATACATAAAATAAGTTTTTCTGGGCTTGACCTGAACTGAGGCTGGACCAACCCTGTCCTGTCTCGGAACTAAAGAGAAATGGTTTCCTTTAGGCTCTGGATAAGATTGTCTCCCAGCAGATGTCCAGAAGGCCACACGCCTAACCTGCAGCTGTAGTTTCCTCAGAAAACACATTTCCTCTTTGTCCAGATCCTTTTCCAAGTCCACCTACAAGACAACTCATATTTTTTAATCCTACCTGTGGTTACTGGGATCTGGGGCTTATGATTTTTGACGACTCAGAGCAGGATGAGAACGGGGTTTTACAAATGAAACCACCCTTTGATGGACACCATTTGTCCTGACCATCACATAGCTGAGTAGGGCAAGCACCCTTTGATGGGACATGGACAGCTTAGTAAGCAGAAAGGGCAGGGTGGGTTTTGCAGGAAAGAAAAGACTGAATGATCCTAGGTAGGACGAGAGGCAAATCAGCTTTGCTGGGAAGATAAACCGTATCCTGTGGGCAAGATGCTTAGCCAATGAAATCCAAGAACTCCCTCTGTGGAATATTCCTCTGCCAAGAGGAATGAAAGGCCATGGATTTCCAGGCAGGGGAAAGGGAACCAGGAGCTTGGTTCTGACAGAAACATGGGCAGTTCTACAAAGCTAAACAGCAGTTGTGTGCTAGCCTGTCTTCCTTCCTTCCTTCCTTCCTTCCTTCCTTCCTTCCTTCCATCTGCTGTATTTTCAACACTGGCTGTCTTCTTAAGCTTTCTTTTAAGGCCGATGCAGTCATTATTTTACTCCTACATTAGCCGTGTGCAATTTTTAAGCAAGATATTTCTGAGCATTGACAGAGTAAAGCTATGACCGAGAGTTCTTAATGGTAGAGATTCAATAATGTTAACCTCTAAACTTTAAATACCAGGTATGAAAAACAAGAAGAAACAAAAAGTCTCTTTCATTTTTTTGAAGATAATCATCATTCTACCATGTCCCTCCTGGAAAAGCGTTTGATCTTTCCAAAAAACAGAGGAATTCAGGAGCAAAACCAACGTATTTATCAAATCAGGGTCAGGCAAAAAGCAAGAGGGTTAACTGAATTCAAGAGTTCAGGGAGAGCCTAGACAAAGTAACAAGAACCTATATCCAAAAACTAGGGAAAATTGTGTGTGTGTGTGTGTGTGTGTGTGTGTATTTTACACAGACATCACATCAGACTGCAATAGCATTTGTATGTATGTATATATCTGTGGTATATATGCAGGTGTACATATGTGTAGGTACGTGTGTTTGTGTGTTCACAACTGTGGAGGCCCAAGGTTGATGTCAGATGCCGTTCTCAATGCATTCCACCTTACACATTGAGGTGGGGTCTCTCTCGCTGTGGAGTTTTATTTGGTTCTTTCAACGTTGCCCTTGCCCTTTCCATGTGGAATGTCTGTATTACGTCACTGCTGCCTTTCCCACTGAATCCAAGAGTTTCTCCCAGTAAGCATGAGCTGTGTCAGTAAGTCCTCCCACAGTCTGGCAGACACTACGCTGGCTGCTAAACACCTGTAACTGCGGTAATTCAGTACACATTGGTGAAAGACCCTCCATTTCAAGGACGTTTGGAGATACCCCCAGACTCAATAAACCAGTGGATGCAGTCAGCAAGAGGCTTCTTTAATGCTCACAAGTGCTTGTGGGTGACCCAGCAGCTCCCGCCAGCTGAGCACCCTGAACAACTCTCCAACCCACATTTATAGGATTTTACAGGTTACATAATAGGGGAGCATAGCAACAGCCATTTCATTGGTTCCTTAAATGGCGGGCTTAGGCCATCCTGGGGACAGCTCCGTTTATCTGTTCCCAAGTTCCCCGAATGACCGCAAAGCTAGATAAAGCATACTTCAGCAACTCGACAGTTTCAATAAGGTACCCTAGGGGGCTGCTTCATCAATTCGACAGTTGCAATAAGGTACCCTAGGGGGCTTGGTCAGGTCAGGTAGCCTTGTGACCAGATGCAAACCATAAATATCCTGTTCTGGTGCCAGTTGTCCATAACGGAGACAGTGTCTAACCCAAGGTCACATATCTCTGTTTCCTAAAGGTTAACTCAGTTCACATCTGGTTTATCAGGGATGGCCAGGACACCACTCTCAATTTGTAGGGAGAAGCTCTGGCCTTGTAAATAAAACAGCCAGTTGTAAAATGACCTAAGCTTCCCAGACACCTGAGAAAATAGCTCACTGTGAATGAATGATCCTTGATCTGCTGAGAAAGCTGCTGACAGTCTGCTCTCATTCCCCTCTACATTCTTATTTTTGGAATCTATAATTTTATTTTCTTATTCTTGGACTCTTCACTGGGAATGTGGAAACACAGCACGGCCTGCAATCACAGCCCACAGAAGGAAATAGTAGGCTATCTGGCACGTGAGGTTAGGGTGTTTAAAACAAATAGCCATAGGCCTAGGATGTAGCCTATCCGTAGTTGACTAGCAAACCAAGATAAACCACTCCTGCAAGGCTACTCAATTCACTGACAAATTACTGTTTGAATTAAGTACATAATAGATGCCCGCTGGCAAAATCTACAGCTCTGGCTGCAAGCGTGGCATTGATAGGGGTGCAGCTGTGGATGCAGAAGATGAGTCCCACTGGGGCTCACCCCCAAGATAGCTCGTTAGATATATGCAAATTCTCTAAAATCTGGGACACTTCTGAGGCCACGCAGTTCAGATAAGAGATAGATAGTCTGTGTTTCTAATCTAAAATGTAACTGTGTTTGGCTCTAAAGCTAGCTCAGGTCGTGCAAGTCTGAGTTGCTAAATTCACTTTGTAAAATTACTTCATTTTCAGGCGCTTGAAATTGCTGTCGGATGTGATATAGATAAATACATTAAGGTTAAAGGGTAGGTACATCTCTTCCGTTTGTTGTTAGGCCTTACTCTTAAGTTTTCACACAAATGGTGTGTCGAGTGGTAATCATGGCTTGAAAACACCAGCCTCTAACGGGCATGCTCATGGTGAAATCTAAAGTTGAACTGGAATCGGTGTCCAGCTTCAGTGGGTTTGAATATTTTATTTTATGTACATGACCGTTTTGCTTGCAAATGTATTTGTGCACTACCTGCATCCCTGGTACTCTCAGAGTCCAGCAGAGGGCATCGGGTCCCCTACAACTAGAATTACAGACAGGTGGAAGCCACCAAGGGGGTACTGCGTATCAACCTGGGGGCTCTGTAAGAGCTGTCACTGCTTGGAAGCACTGAACTAGTTCTCCAGACCCTGGTTTGAAATTACCGTCAAGTCTCATACTGTGTTTGAGCCACACTGGGAGGCAGCATTTCTTTGATTGCTACTGTGGTCGTTTGAATGTAATTGGCCCCCAATAAGCTCACAGTGAGTGGCACTATTAGAAGGTGTGGCTTTGTTGGAGCAGGTGTGACCTTGGAGGAAGTGTCACTGTTGGGGGTGGCCTTTGAGGTCTCAAGTGTGCTCAGGTCACACCCAGTGTCTCAGCCCACTTCTGTCACCAGCATATAAAGATGTAAAACTCTCAGCTCCTTCTCCAGGACAATGTCTGCCTGCATGCTGCCATGCCCCACCATGATGGTAATGGACATAACTGCTGAAGTGTAAGCCACCCCATTAAATGTTCCCTTTATAAGAGTTGCCATGGTCATGGTGTCTCTTCACAGCAACAGAAACCCTAACTAAGACAGCCACTTTCCACCATAACAAGTCAGTGTCTGTCCTTGCTGTTACTCATCAGTCTGCAATATGGTCCCAGAAAACAAGAGAGGGAAGCCATTCTCCCTTCTTTCCGTCCTACTTAAACCACTTATGATTGTCCCTTGTCAGAGACTTCTCTACCCCTATACTAGAGAGGTCTCCTCTTCCTGCACTGGTTTCCCTGGATAGGTTTTCTAGTAACAGAACCACCAATGGTTCCCTCAGAGCAAGGTTTGAATTTCCTCGACCTCACAGTGAGGCCCACAGCTCATGCTGACCATTTGTAAAGCTGTCTTCTGCACGGTAGAGAATCTACATCAACACACGCAAGTCTGTTCGACTGAGGTCCAGTGCTTAACGGAGACAACAACTTACTTTGGCCTCTTTCCTTTGTGAGGGTGGGAGTGAGTGTGCTGTGGGAACGTGGTGGTGGTGGTGGTGGTGGTGGTGGTGGTGGTGGTGGTGGTGGTGGTGGTGGTAATGGATTTTCATCTTAGTATTTAGGAAATGACTTCTCTAATTCAAAAACAAGTGTCTATTCCTAGGTAGTATATGAACCAGTGTAGTTTGGTTTTTGGTCTTTTGGTGTGTTTGTTTGCTTTGTTTTTACTCTTTGGGGGCCCACCATGTGGCTCCCAAATAAACACATAGAAACGTATTCTTACTTTTTTTGTTTGTTTGTTTGTTTTTTCCAGTCTCTCCCTGACTCCACAATTTTTAATTGATTTTTATTGTGCTCTACATTTTTCTCTGCCCCCTCCCTGCCTCTCCCCTCTTTGCTTCAACCCTCCCGCAAGGTCCCCATGCTCCCAATTTACTCAGGAGATCTTGTCTATTTCTTCTAAAAAATTTAATAAGTATGTACAAAAAGTGAGGTAAATAAGAAGTTTGCGAAATGGGTTTTTTTTTAAAAAAAAATAGAAATGCTAAGGCAGAAAACTGATCCCAGAGACTCTAATTTAGTAAATTAATTATGTAATCATCTTCAGTTTAAGAACCACTGAGCTCAGTGAAGAATTCTCTATACTCTGTTTTATTTTTGTAGGTTTGGTAATACTGACTGTTACCGCCGGGATTTTTCTTACATGATTGACAAGTAAGAAATATTTCTAACATAAGCATATTAATAACAGCTAGTAGGCTATAATAAGCTAGTGCTTAGTGGTTGAAATGCCACTGGGATGCATGTATTTGGCTTGATGGTTCCCAAATTTTAAAAAAGCTGGAGATATAACCCTTAACCTTCTCTGAAACATGTACAATCACACTTATTACTGTCCTTTCTGGTTCAATTCAATAAAAAAGGCAAGTATCACTTAGTCTCAAATCCCATATTGTTCCTTTTCTCGTAAGAAAGACAAATGAGAGTATCTGCACCTCACCTCACTTTCTACATGACTGTGTAAGAACCTAGTTAGAACGTGCAGTCTCTTGAGTTCACAGAGGAGAAGGATTCCATTAAAGGAATAAATTGAAATTAGGGAATTACTGGGGGGTTTAAAAATCCATTTTAGGGCCTAGAGAGATGCTTCAGTGAGCAAAGTTCCCCAAACCTATGGAAATCCAAGCCCAGTAATATCTATCTTAAATCCCAGGCACCTACAGAGTGAGATTGGGAAAGGAGAAACACTCAGTGGCAAAACAGCAAATGGACCCTGTTGCAAAGCTATATAGAAGGCATGGATCAATACCAGAAGTTGTCCCTTGACCTCTGTATGCATGTCATGGTATATATGCACCTGCATTCATACAAATGTGTACATATACACACATCATACATATACAATCAACAAGTCAATTAATTAATTAAAATGCACATCTAAAGGTAGGCATGTGGTCCAGTGGTAGAGTACCTGCCAGGCATGACAAAACACACACACACACACACACACAAGACAAGGGGTATACATCTATAATCCCAGCATTCACAAGGTGGAGTTTGAATGAGTTTGAAGACAGCCTGGGCATCATGAGACCTTGTCTTTAAGAACAAAATATGTTGTTTCTGACTCTTTCATTTAGTAACTGTGGTGATTTGAATGAGAATGTCCCCCATGGGTTCGTATATTGGAATAGTCACCAGCAAGTGGAGCTGTTTGGGAAGGAATAGGAGGTGTGTCCTTGTTGTAGGAGGTGTGCCACTGGGAGTGGCCTTCGAGGTGTCCAAAGCCCATACAAAACCCAGTGTCTCTCTTTCTGCCTGCTGCCTGTGGGTCAGGATGTAAAACTCTCAGTCACTGCTCCAGTGCCATGCCTGTCTGCTCCCCACCAAGATGATCATGGCCTAACCCTCTGAAGCTGTCAGCAAGCTCCCAATTAAATGTTTTTTTTTTTAAAAAAAAAAAAAGAGTCTTGCCTTGGGTGTAGTGTCTCTTCACAGCAGTAGAACGGTGACTAGGACAGTTATGTTTTGGGGAGCACGGCCCTGGACTAACACAGTGAATACAGATGACTAGGACAGTTACGTTCTGGGGAGCACGGCCCTGGACTAACACAGTGAATACAGACTTTCCAACCGTGTAACCTTCTCACAACTGAAACACGGTTTGCAATCTTGAGTAAGTTTCATACGATTTCTGAAAACGGTCCCACGTCTCCAAATGAAGGGCAGCGGCCTGTACCTGCTTGGCTGTTGGTTGACGTGAGACTGTATTCACAGAGGTAGCAAAGGATACGTAAAGTGCCAGTTTGTAGGAAGCACTTGGTAGTTTATCGTCCTGTTCTCTACTTGGCTTTTGTGACACCCACCCTAAATAAACTATGCTTTTAGTTTTTAAGTCAGAAGGGAGGAAGTGTAAGCAGGGATAATGACATGTGTCTTTTTTTTTTAAACAGGGAATTTCTGAGAGATAAACCACTCGAAAATAAGGTAAGAAAAGCATGCATTTTGTCAATGAGATAAATGGACACAAGAACTAAAGCATTTTTCTTTTTCTAGAAAGTAAGGTATGATGTGGAAAAATACGGCTGTCCTCAGAGGCTTGAATTCAATATGCCGTTTCAACCTGTGATACAGCTGTAAGTTTACACCCACTTTGGAAATTAATTTGTGTGCTAGAGAAATAGCTCAGTTGTTGAGAGTGCTGTTACATCAAGGGGCAAAGAGGCTGTCCTGGCAGAGTCCAGCCCATGTGAGGCTTTCACTCCCTTCTTCCAGAATAGTCATATGAGTGACTTTTTGCTTTGGCTGGGTCTCTCTGAATTCTAGGGAAACAAGTCTGAGTAGGGAGACCTATTAGTAAAATTATATTTAGGAGATGGGGAATAGTTGAAAGGGTACCATGGACCAAGAAGTTCATCTATGATAGAAATTAGTGATTATAAGCAGAAAGAGTCAATGTTTTGATATGTGAGTGGTGAGGGAGAGGATGACGAGGAGTGAGACAGATGTCAACAACACACCTGCATCTTCAAGCATCTGTACGGTGCACCGTGTGTCTTAGAGTTCCCGTTGCTGTGCTGAAACATCATGACCAAACGCAACTTGTTTCAGCACACAGTCTGTAGCCCGGCATCCGGAGAACTGACAGCAGAAACTCAAGTGGAGTACGAACCCGGAAGCAGGAGCTGATGCAGACCATTGCGAGTGATGCTTGCTGCCTTGTTCCTCATGACTTGCTCAGCCTGCTTTATCTATATCTATATCTATATCTATATCTATATCTAATCTATATCTATATACATACATACAATCCAGGATCACCAGCCCAGGGGCGGCGCTGCCCACAGTGAGCTGGGCCATCCTATATCCATCATTGATCAAGAAAATGTACCATAAGTGTGCGCACAAACCAATCTAGTTGTTGCATTTCCCCAGTTGAACCTCCCTCTTCCCAAATGGATGTAGTCTGTGTCAATTTAACATAAAAAAAAAAGGCGGGGGCTGTAGAACCGGAAAGATGGCGGAGGAAGGAGAAAGAAAAAAGATCCCTTTGGTTCCAGAAAATCTCCTGAAAAAGAGGAAGGCTTATCAGGCCCTCAAAGCCACCCAGGCAAAGCAGGCACTTTTGGCAAGGAGAGAGGGAAAATCAAAACAGTTCAGGTTTAAGCGACTGGAGTCATTCCTGCATGATTCCTGGCGGCAGAGGCGTGACATGGTGCGAGTCCGGCGACTAGAGGTGAAGCCTCGTGCACTGGAAGCGCCTGATAAACACTCCCTGGCCTTCGTCATGCGCTTTGAAAGGATAGAAGGAGTGAGTTCTCTGGTACAGAACACCATAGCAAAACTTCGCCTGAAGAAATTGTTCAGTGGTGTCTTCATCAATGTCACCTCTCAGACTGTAAGAATGCTGCGTACAGTGGAGCCTTATGTGACCTGGGGATTTCCAAATCTGAAATCTGTCCGGGAACTCATCTTGAAACGTGAACAAGCGAAGATTAACAATAAGACTGTCCCTCTAACCGACAACACGGTGATTGAGGAGCACCTGGGGAGATTTGGTGTCATTTGCCTGGAAGACCTCATCCATGAAATTGCCTTCCCGGGGAAGCATTTCCGGGCGATCTCTTCATTCTTGTGCCCATTCCACCTCTCTGTGGCCCGTCATGCTACCAAGAACAGAGTGGGGTTGCTCAAGGAGATGGGCTCTCCTGGCTATCGGGGTGAACGCATCAATCAGCTCATCGCCAGCTGAACTAAACTGGGACCAGGATTTCCAGAAGACAATGCATTGAAGTGTGCATTTGTTAATTAAAATTATCAATGTCTTCAAAGAAGACTATTTTCTGCCTTCAAAACCTGAAAGTGGTTGGCAGAAAGATAACAGGGTGTGATCATTGGAAACCTCAGCACAGCCCCGTTTCATGGAAAAGGAAGTTCTCCTGCTTCTGAATCAATGCAGGCCTTGGAGGAAAGAGTTGCCCTACTTTGTCCTGCCTGATATCTTGGTGTTTAATGTTGGGTGGGCAAATAATCCAAACATCCCTCCCACCCCTTCCAGTTCTCGGAAGGCCATGGTCCAGACCCAGGGGCATACTTGAGTCTGGAAAAAGAAAGTCTTGTTTCTTACTTGTATTGTGTTTTTGTCAGCACCGGTGTCTTTGTTTGTTGTTTGTTTAGAACAGGGTCTCACTGTGTAAATCCTGCTCACCTTAAACTCCATAGCAATCCTGCCTCATCCTCCTAATGCTGAGGTTATAGGTGTGTGCGCCCCCAGCCTGGGAACTTACACCTCAGACAGAAGTAGCGAAAGCTTTGCTTAGTCTGTGCTGTGAGGCCATTTTGCAACTCCAGTGTCAGCTTTGGTCAGGCTTGCCTGTCCCTGAGTCAGTGATGCCATTTGTACCCTGACCAGTTTAAGATGGGTTCTCTACGCTACCAAGACACACACGCTCCCACTGTGCTGGAACTCTGTGGTGGTGACACCCTCTTGGCACCGGGCCTCTTCTATGAGGATGCATATGAGTGAGCATTCTGTTGTAGAGGAGATTAAAGTTTAGCCTCGCTGCACTGGGCCTGGTAGGTAGCCCTTTAATCCCAGTGCTTGGGAGCAGAGGCAGTAGAGCTCCTCAGCTCGAGGACACACACAAACCAACCTCCTCCTCCTCAGCCTTTCCTTACAACCCACACAGGGCTTCACATTCTTAACAGCTCCTTCCCTTGGGCTTTCCTGGAACCTCACTGTGAAGCTGAGTTAGAAAGAGGAAAACATTTTAACAGTGCCTCAATGCATGCTGGTTACAAGGTCGGTGGGGCCCAGAATCTGCCAGAGGACATGTAACTCTGCTGCTGTAGAGCACTGGGAGATGAGGGAACACATGAAGTGCTCACCTACTATGTGAGGCCCTGAGATCTATGCTAAGGGAGCATGGCTTCCGTTTCTGGCCTACACGGTGGAGCTAGTATCTTCCCAAGTGTCTGCCTTGCTCAGAATTTAAAGCAAGTTTTTAAAATAAAAGATTATTTTAAGGTTTAAAAAAAAAAAAGGCCGGGCGGTGGTGGCGCACGCCTTTAATCCCAACACTCGGGAGGCAGAGGCAGGTGGATCTCTGTGAGTTTGAGACCAGCCTGGTCTACAAGAGCTAGTTCCAGGACAGGCTCCAAAACCACAGAGAAACCCTGTCTCGAAAAAAAAAAAAAAAAAAAAAAAAAAACAAACTAGCCAGCACAGCATAGGTGAACTGTCTAAAGCCTGTCTCTCCACTTAGGAAATAGTCTTTACTAATTAAGAACATTGTTCCTGGATGCCCCCCTCTGTCTTCCAGATCATCTCTCCCCTCTCTTTTAGAGTCCTCTGAGGAACACAGCACATAGAATGAAGGAGGTTTATTAGACTGGGTCATCCAGCAATGGCTGTCTTCAGAACGCAGAAGCCACACAGTCCAGGAGACAGAATAGCTCACTGTCTTGGTCTAGCACGCAGGCTCTGGAGGATGCCCAGAAAGCCGCTTGTCTTCAGTTCACATTGGAAGGTGGAAGAAGCTGAGTTCTGGCGTCAGCAAAGGAAGACTCTCACTAGTGGAGCAAACAAGGTCAACGAACACAACACCAAGACACAAGGGCAAAGAGACAAAAAGTAAAAGCTTGCCCTTGGACCTCCTGACATCTGGGCAACTGCTGGAAGATACTACCCACCTTCAGGGTGGTAACCAAGAAAATCCTTCACAGGCGTGCTTGGAGATTAACCTAAATTATTCCTTACAGGCGTGCCCAGAGGCTTGCCTCATGGATGAGTCTAGATCCTGGCAAGGTGGCATATCAATCATCACACCCTATCTACTAGATCATTGTGCAAAACAAAGGAACCAAAAGGACCCTCCTGGGCGAACAGCAGCCACTCCTACTCTTCCCATGCCTCTTTGTCTAGCTTTTATGCTCCCCTAAACACAGGTAATAAAAGACCTAGTTAACAGAACGGATCATCCCCAAGTTTAGAATATGAAGATCAGTAATGAGGTCTCTTAGATTCCCGAAGTCAAATTTCCACAGAAAAATTACCAACTTTTGGGAATTTAGCTGCCAATTAGTGACATCCCTGCCTTCTCAGATTTAATTAGAATTCTATTACACACCCATGAAAATTTATTAAAATGAGCAAGCTCGAGTAAGCAAGTCCTTCTGTCACAATGAAACAAACCCAGACAGAGCTAGTTCCAGGACAGGCTCCAAAGCCACAGAGAAACCCTGTCTCAAAAAAACAAAACAAACAAAAAACAAACAAACAAACAAACAAAAAAAAACCCAGGGATGGCTCACGCAATGCATGCTTGTGACACAGGGTGGCACTGTGGCTCTTTGCACTAACTGTCCTGACGTCCCTGAGATCTTTTTGTCCTTGAGCAAAATAGAATTTGTACCTAATTCTAAAAAGGAAGGAAGGAATGAAGAAAAAAGAAAGAAAACAACGTTTATTTGGGGGGAAGGGAGGTCAGCTGTCAGGACCAGCTCCCTCCCTTTTACTTAGTGGTTCCAGGGATCAAACTCAGATCATCAGACTCTGCTGCAAGTGCCTTTGCTTGACCAGCTACCTCACCTCATCAGCGCCCAATTCTTAGGAAATCAAGAATTCTACCACTTACACAAGCTATAATCAAACTCCTGCTTCCACCAAAGCTGCTAGCTTTTGAGCTTGGCTCCCCCTGAGGGCCCTTGCACTCTTGTGTTGCAAGGGGTGCACAGCACCCATGCGAGTTTTTAATCTTTCTGTGGCTCTCCCTAGCCCAGACACCAAGCAGCTGCTCTCCAGCACGCCTGTTTGGGAACTGAGATCTGAAGCTCTTCATGGATTCTCAAAATTAGGAAACACAGAAACAAGAATGGCTTCCCAAGTACTGCGTCTATGTGTCGGCCCCACACCCCCATACACCCTCCACCCCACCCCACGCACACTTCGTGAGAATGGGAGAAAAACCGATTGGGCTAGCCAGTGTAGGGTAGCAGCAAACTTTAACCAACCTGAAAATCAGACTCCATAGCTTTGAAGTGAAGCCGAGAGCTGGTCAAGAAACAAAGAGACATTGTCAAGGACCTAGTAGTTTTCTGTAAATCAACAGACAGCTGACAAATGATGAACTGTATTTATTTTTTATTGATTTTTATTGAGCTCTACATTTTTCTCTGCTCCCCTCCCTGTCTCTCCCCTCCCCTTCAGCCCTCTCCCAAGGTCCCCAAGCTTCCAATTTACTCAGGAGATCTTGCCTTTGTCTACTTCCCATGTAGATTAGATCCATGTATGTCTCTCTTAGGGTCCTCATTGTTGCCTAGATTCTTTGGGATTGTGATTTGTGGGCTGGTTTTCTTTGCTTTATGTTTAAAAACCACTTATGAGTGAGTACATGTGATAATTGTCTTTCTAGGTCTGGGTTACCTCACTCAAAATGATGTTTTCTTGATCCACCCACTTGCCTGCAAATTTCAAGATGTTGTTGTTATTTTTCTGTTGTGTAATACTCCATTGTGTAAATGTACCACATTTTCCTTATCCATTCTTCAGCTGGGGGGCGGCATTTAGGTTGTTTCCAGGATGAACTGTATTTTAAAAGCAGGGTTACATTCATTGCAAGAGGCAGCAGCTTAGAAGCAAGAACAGGACCCAAAAGCGAGTCTCCAGGGAAATTTCCATCCAATGAGTATATGGGACAATTTCATTCAGAAACATGAGCATAAGGAGGGGTGGAAAGTTAGCAGGAGCCTCTAAGCCCAGTAGCTGGGAGGTGGATGCAGGGTCTAAGGAGTTCAAGGCCATCCTCAGCTATGTAGTGGGTCTGAGGTCAGTCATCCTGAGCTATGAGACTCTGTCTCAAAAAAAAAAAAAGAAAAAAGAGGGAAAAATAGGGAGAGAAGGAGGGAGATGGGAAAGTGGGAAGAAAGAAGTTGGGAGAGGGGAGCAATAACTGGTGGAGAAGGAAGCTATATAACCATTTGTGTGGTCCCAAGTTCTACAATGCTAAGGTATAAATCTTTTGATGATAAGTTTATCTTTGCTCTTGAGTGTTTATTTTTTTATGATAGAGAAAATTTATAAAGTAACAGATAAACTTTTTAAACTCCATGGGTCTAAGGGAACTCCTCTCAGCTTGGTGGGGCTAGTATGTCCTGTCCGAGCATCACAAGGGGGTAACCTGTCCCTGGAGGACAGTGACTGTTTCCTGCTGCCATGGAGATGACTGTCTCCCAGCCCCACCTCAGCTCTCCCAGCTGCAGACCCGAGATTCAGCCCATCTTCCAGCTGCTCCCTCCTGGGAAGTCAGCAGCGGTTCCACCTTTCGCTCCAGGAACTCCATGGCTTCCTCTCCACCACATGAAACGTGGTTTCATGATACCAAAAGATCCTCGGCCTGTCCTTCCACCCATCTCATTCTTCTGTCTTTCTCCGCGTTACCAGGGCCCCATCGCATTAATATATGGCAATGAGGGAAAGTTGTGGTTCCAATTTTTCTTCTCTTTACTGTTAGGTTTTCATTTTGAATGATATCTGCTGTCTGGGGCTGCACATGGTGGTTTACGCCTGTAATTTTAGCACTTGGGAGGCAGAAACACAGTATTTCAATCAGTTGGGGACAATGACACAGCCATTAGATACAATTATATCACAGATAAATACTTGTAAGAGTTGGTGAGTTCCAGTAATTTCCCTAGGATCACAAAGTTAATTAGTGATAAAGACAAGATTTGACCACTGTGAATGACAAGGCGTGTGTGTGTGTGTGTGTGTGTGAGAGAGAGAGAGAGAGAGAGAGAGAGAGAGAGAGAGAGAGAGAAAACAAGCGCCAGGAGTTCAAGGGTCCTTCACTACACAGTAAGCTTGAGGCCCTCCTGAGCTATATGAGAGCCTATCTCAAAAAATAAGCAAACAAAAAGGATTTAAACCTAAGCCATCTGACTTTCAAACTGCCAGCCCTCTATTAGACACTAAACTGATACTTTTGTGTTTGTTGTTTCAGGTTTAATGAACATGGCTTTGTTCAAATAATCCAAGCAAATTTTATCGTGTGGGAAATCCATGGCAGGGATGACTATACCTTTAATAATACTATGAAGCAGGTATGACCAGAACTTAGCATGCAATTAAACACATTCTTTTGATTTTTAATTTATATGTAAATTATCTAAGGGAAGTGAAACCAAATCAAGATAAGTAAAAGAGAGAATATCAACTCTATATTAAAGTCAATGACTACTGAAGTTCATCTCTGGGGGAAAAAAAAAGATGTCTTATAAAACAGGCAGAAGAAAGGTCAAAAAAATAAAATAATGTAACAGCCAGGATGATGCAATTATATATGAGTATTTTCTTACTAAGTCAAATGGGCAAACTGAGTTCAAGGCCAGCCTGATTTACAGACAGAGAAGTTCCAGGACAGCCAGTGTTACACAGAGAAACCCTGTGTAATCAGGAAGTTTTTCTCCCACCCACCAGTTCTCGAATAATCATGCAGAGACTTATAAATGTTTGGTCAATGGCTCAGGCTTATTACTAGTTAGTGCTTACATTTAAATTAACCCGTATTTCTTATCTATGCTTTGACATGAGGTTTGTGGTTTGTTACCTCATTTTCTACATGTCTTGCTTCCTCGGCAGTTGGGAGGTGTCTCCAGACTCTGCCCTTCTCCTGTATCTCTGCTTGGATTTCTGCCTGGCTGTATCCTGCCTTGCCATAGGCCAAAGCAGCTTTACTTATCAACCAATGAGAGCAACACATATTCACAACATACAGAAAGACATCCTACAGCGACCCTGTCTCATAAAAAACAAACAAATAAACAAACAAGATTCCTAGCATCACAATACAAATAATCAGACTTTGATCAAATCCATCCTTGTGAACAATAGAGACCTTGGATAACACAGCTTCTAGAATCAAATGTAAGTTCAGACATCACAGCTCACCCACAGCCCTCTTGCCAATCCTGCTCCTCCTTATTTGTCCTCACAAAACTGACACACTGTCATGCTGAACCCTTTGCTTCTTCCTCTCTGTCAATACCAGTTTTCTTCCCTTCTTTGTCTTTCCAGCTTAAGCTCCCTAGTTTATTCTGTTACTAGCTCTCTTCCCCAGGTGTAATTCCAGCACACTGTCATGGCAACTGTAAATGCGCATCTTTCTTTTGCCCTGCCCATGCCTGTAGCTAAGCAGCCGGCCATACACAGAGAACATATATGACAATGCCTGAAACTAGGATAGCTGGATACTCTGACTAAAAGAAATTTCAATACAATAACTGACCATGTAAAACCAGTCTGTGAAGCTGTGCACCATTCTTACACGGCTGGACTCCTCAGGGAGAGTCAGGCCCTCATGAGCTCGGCTTCTTCAATACCTGGGCCTCTGCAGGTCCTGAAAGGCACGGGGGACCCAGACCACGAATGCTGTGACCCCCTTTTGTGGCTGGCCACTGCAGGTCTGGGCAGTCCCTGGGAAGTCCTGCTGGGGAAGCTGTATCCCCCTCTTCCACAGCTGAACTTCTCAGGTGTGGAAGGGAATGGGGAGTCTGACCAGGGTTTCATTACCATCTTTGAATAGTGTATTTAAAGATTATATCCCCTCCACAGCACATAAATGATTTACTTCATATAAGACACTTGATAAGGGAAAGATAGTACTGGGTAAAGTGATAACCACACACACACACACACACACACACACACACACAGAGAGAGAGAGAGAGAGAGAGAGAGAGAGAGAGGGCTCTGTGGTTAAGAGTGTTGGTTGCTCTAGCAGAGGATTTGAGGTTCAGTTCCCAGCTCCCACATGGTAACTCACACACACTTGTGACTCCAGTCTCAGGGGATCTGATCCCTTCTTCTGACCACTGTAGGCACTGCATACACATGATACACAGACATACATTCAGGCAAACACTAATACTCATTTTTTAAAAAAGTAAAATGAAACTCTCACCTAACATAATGCAGACAGCAAATGGATCTATAGCCTAAATTTAAGACCCCAAACTATAAACTCTTAGAAGAAAATGAATGGTAAAAATCATCCCAACACTGCCATCCAGACTGAGGAAGACCCAGAAACTCTGGGGCCACGTGAGCCATGGCCATGGCTGCATCGGTAAACACCGCAAGCATCCGGGAGGACGCGGGAACACTAGAGGCATGCATCATCACAGGATCAACTTTGACAAATATCATCCAGGTTACTTCGGGAAAGTTGGGATGAGGCATTACCACTTAAAGAGGAACCAGAGCTTCTGCCCGACTGTCAACCTGGATAAGCTGTGGACGCTGGTCAGTGAGCAGACCCGGGTCAACGCTGCCAAGAACAAGACTGGAGTTGCTCCCATCATTGATGTCGTGCAATCGGGCTACTACAAAGTTCTGGGGAAGGGAAAGCTCCCTAAGAAGCCTGTCATCGTGAAAGCCAAATTTTTCAGCAGAAGAGCTGAAGAGAAGATAAAGGGTGTTGGAGGTGCCTGTGTTCTGGTGGCTTAAAGCCACTCAAGGAGGCCAATTAAATGCTAACACTTTCCAAGTGAAAAAAAAATCATCCCAACATTGGTTTGGGCAATGATTTATTGGCTATGATTCAAGTTACAGATGAAAGAATGAGAGAGGACAGGAAAAGAAGAGGGGGAGGAAGAGAATGGAAGAAAAGAGGGGAAGAGGGAAATGGAAAGGAAAGAAATGGGAGACAAAAGAAGAGAAGAAGGGCAGAAAAGAGGGGAGAGAAGGAGAAGGGAAGGGATGACAAAGTGGATGCTATGAAAATCTAAAAACTGTGTGTATCAAAAGACACAAGAGCTGGGCAGTGGAGGCTCACGCCTTTAATTCCAGCACTCGGAAGGCAGAGGCAGGCAGATCTCTGTGAGTTCGAGGCCAGCCTGGTCTATAAGAGCTAGTTCCAGGAGAGCTTGGACTGTTACACAGAGAAACCCTGTCTCAAAAAATAAAAAAAGAAAGAAACAAAGAAGAAAAAAGACACAAGAGTAGAAAGACAGTCCATGGAATGGAACAAAGTATTTTCAGATCATATATTTGATAAGGAAAATGTCTAGAACATACAGAAAACTTCCATAATTCAACAACAAAACAACCCAATTAAAGGTTGGGGGCAAAGGACTTGAACAGACATTTCAATGAAAATGTACAAATGTCTAGTTGACATTTGAGAACATTCAGGAAACCTAAATTAAATCTACAGTGAGATACTATTTCACATACACTAGGATAAAAACAAAGGCTAAGCATTAGCAATGGAGGAGAAACGGGGACATACTCGTTTTTGGGGTGTGAAGGGCACCTCCATGCTGGGAAGAAAAAAGCAGCATGGGAGAAATTTAAAGCACAATTGCCAGTTCTCCTCACCCATGCCTGTTCGCTCAAAAGAGTGGAAAGAATGTTCTTCAGGATGGATTTGTACACTCACGATCACAGAGCTACCTACAATAGCCAAGGCTGTAAGAAAAGGAAGAGAGGGTAATCTTGTTTAAAAGCGATCAAATGTAGTCCTCATTGTCCGCTATGTTCAGCGAGTCCGGTTTTATCCCAGGCTTTTTCAGACCCAGGCCAGCTGGCCTTGGTGAGTTCCCGATAGAACATCCCCAATGAGGACTACTGAGAACTCAAGAACAATGGCAGTGGGTTTTTGATCCTGCTGCACATACTGGCTTTGTGGGAGCCTAGGCAGTTTGGATACTCACCTTACTAGACCTGGATGGGTGATCCTTGGACTTCCCACAGGTCAGGGAACCCTGATAGCTCTTTGGGCTGACGAGGGAGGGGAACTTGATTGGGGGAGGGGGAGGGAAATGGGAGGCGGTGGCAGGGAAGAGACAGAAATCTTTAATAAATAAACGGAAAAAAAATTTTAAAAAAAGCGATCAAATGGTGTATCACATGATGTTCATGGATGAGACTGTAGTACGTGGGGATGCACTGCCAGCGAGGAAACTGAAGAACTGGGAGGATGATGCCTAGACAAGCCAGGACAATGGTTATCTGCAGGAAACGGGAAGCTGTGGAGACTTTCAGAGAAGCTAAGAGCTTGTAGGGCTCCAGGAAACATTTAAAATCAGGAGTAGTAGGGTTTTTGTTGTTGAGTGTATTTGTTTGGGCATCTGTGTTTTGTTTTGTTTTGTTTTCGGGCTTAAAATAAAAGGAAGGGATTTGTGCTATGGAAAATAGTCTGACAGTTCTTCATAAAATTCCACCAAAATTCTCCCGTGCCCTAGCAACTCTAGCTTCACAGGTGGCTCAGCAGATGCAGGAGCTTTCCCTCAAGCCTGACAACCTGAGCTCAGTCTTCCCAGGACCCATGCAGTGGAAGGAAGGAGTCCACAAGTTGTTTGTCTTCTGGCATCCACATTCACCCTACAGCATGCACTTGCACACATGAACACACACACACACACACACACACACACACAAATGTAATTTTTAAAAAATAATTAAAAGCAAGGAATAAGATACTTATATACCAATATCAATGTTCCATGAGAATTCTGCATGGTAACAAAAAAAAATGAAACCATCAACAGAGGAACCAATGATTAAAATGCATTCTGTGATTCCAGGGGGATGTGACCTAGCTGTAAAAAGAAAGGGGATTCTCACATTATACCTGGATGGACTACAAGGGCATTGTGCTAAACGAAACAAAGCTAATTGCAGGCAAATACTGAACTACTACACTTGTAAATATTAGTTCACTTAAAAAAAAATCTTAGCAGAAAGTAGAATTTGGTTGCCAGGGGCTACAGGGAGAAAGGAGTGAAGATTTGTTCAACTCGTTGCTGGCAGTGGGTGTGGTTACACACTATGAATGAACTTGATGCCACTAAATTGAATGTTTTCAGTGTTTAAAACTGAATTTGTTTTTTTTTTTTTATTAAACTTTTTTTTTACTTATTTATTTAACTTTATTATGTTTGTTGGTGTGAAGGTGTCAGATCTCATGGAACTGCATTTTCAGACAGTTGTGAGCTGCCATGTGGGTGCTGGGAATCGAACCCGGGTCCTCTGGAAGAGCAGTCAGTGCTCTTAACCGCTGAGCCATCTCTCCAGCCCCTGAATTTGTTTTTAAGTAGTG